TAGGTTTTAATTAATAACTCGAGAATTTTTTAAGGTATAATAATAATTCTTTCAGTGATTAATTCTTATATAAATTATGTGTTTAATCGTTTGAAGATTTTATTGATCGGAGCGTTGAATCAAAAGTTATAAACAATTAAAGTTGATTATGTCATATTTTATGAAATTGACACAAATGAATCTGTAGACTGATGAAAATTTATTACAGATAAAATTATTGATTTGGTTCTGATCATGAATTTAGTAGCAAATTGGTTTTTGAAGAAATAATTATTGTAGGTCTTGTAGGATTAAAAGAATTAATTAAAAACTTATAATGGAGCAATTATGTGACTAAGCGCTGCGACTAAGATTTAATATTTATGTTTTTAATTAATAACTCGAGTGTGTTTAATGTTATAATAATAATTTGCAAAACTAGATTCTTGATTAAATTCTAAGTTTAACTGCGGGAAGATTTTGTTGATCCGAGTTTTGTTGAAAAAGTTATAAACAATTAAAATTTAGTTTTGAAAAATTTAAAAAATTTATTACATTTATATTAATTGGTCGGTAATTTTTGATATGAATTTGTTTTAACTAAAAATTTTGCATTGTTTGCTCAATAATTTAATACTAAATCATTATTTGAAGAAATAATAAGTAAAAGTTGATTAGTTTTTGAGTTATGAATGATAAACTACGACGTTGAGTATGAATACTCTAAAAATCAAGAAAATTATGTATATTTAACTTGTTAATCAAATTATGCCGAGTCGGCAAGAGGCTAACGAGACAATGGAAACGCAACAAATTAGAAACAGACCAATCTATTTCAATGAGCCGTAATTAGTAAGCGCAGCCTCAAAAGAAATTGAGCCCGAATGAAAACGAATGCGAGACAACAAGTCGAATTTACGCAACAATCGAGGGTGTTTTCGGTGTCTCATCGTGCTCACAAAAGTGGTTGGTACCATTCGAAAGAGCTTATTACGCTTATTCGGAAGCTGCGCGTGGAAAAACTCGGCGAAACCACTTGAACGAGAGATAATTTCTGAAAAGGACCGGCCAAGATTATTAACGACCGGACTACCCGTATGCACTTAACGCACTACAAGCAAAAGACCAAAACCGGCGAGCAACAATCACTAAAAGCATTCGTCAAACGCGCGAGCTTTCGTTTTCAAGAGGCTGCACACAGTGCCTAATTGAGGCGAAATCTTTTGTGATTTAATTTTCTACACTCTTCATTGTATATCCTCTCTTGTAATAGGTAATTCCATTATATTATTAATTGAAAAATGAAATTTTTAACATTTTTATTTATAGGGAAGGTAGCATAATTTGGACCAGCGCCTAAGTTGGACCACCACGATATCCGCGGACTGTTGAAGTTTATGCAAAAATTGACTGGCCCCTTCTTTTACTCGTATTTATAAACAATTAATGCAACTATTTGGGTTAAAACTTGCCGCGTGGTTTCGTCGTGACAACAACTTCGTGTATCATTGATTATCAAATCTATTATAACGACGTAAGTGCAAGAGCTGTCAAGCCGTTAAAACGTTAGTTTTACCGATTATTATTTTATCATCAGAAAGCTTCTTTATTTATCTATAATTTATAGTATTAATTTTAAGAGGTTATGTTATATTAAGATTGTCGTTGATCATTAAATATAAATTCTTCAAGTTGCCGAAGTTGGACCGAAGACAGGCACCGGGGTTTTAACAGGGAAAACGTATATCATTTTTTCGACCTCCTAGAAAAGCTTGTGGACGAGCACAAATCTTCGAAATGATCTACTGTATGAAATGCCGCACTTTGGTTTATACAAAATGTGCTTGTGTTACTGCTAAAACTAAAATTTACTATTGTGTCAATTGCCGTTAAAAAAGCATGGTCCAATTTAGGAAACCGCGCGGTCCAATTTAGGAAACCGGTTTCTTAATTTGGACCAAAAACACAATTTTTTTAAATTGAAATTTGAGGGGTATAAATATAATTTTTACTTAAACCAAAAATATCATTTGTGGGTAAGCCTTGTGAGTTACTTTTCCGCTACTTATTTTTATTGACAGTTTATATGTGGCTCTATAAATCAGAAAATATAAAAATGGTCCAAATATGGCTACTTTCCCTATTCAATTAGATTTCGTTGGCTTTGTGTTTGTTTTTGGTCATTAGTGTTGAAAATAAAAGCTCGTGCGCTTTGGTGCTTTCAATTTGCAAAGTTAAAGGAGTTGCACGGTCGAGAAGCAATTTCATAATTTCATGTCTCCCGCACGTCGTTGCTCTCTGCCTCTGTGTGTGTGTGTTTGTGTGTGTACGTGCACGAGGAAGTCGCGAGTTTGTTCTCCAGCATGCGCGTACACTAATTGCACGCACGTAACGCTACACTTTAGCTTAACAACCACAAAGCGGCGTGTCCCTGCCACACAGGTGTAGAGGCCCGTAATGTGCGCGAACGCATGCAGACGCACGTAGATTTCGAATCGAATTAATATACCACCTACGCGCCGAGTAAAAACTGCACACAATGCAATCACATTCAAAAAATTAACTCACGAAAATAAAAACAAACACCTGCTGCAACTGTAACTGAAACATAGGTACTCTGGTTGGTACTTAAGTTAAGACGTCTAAATTAACAACTATCGCTTGGACGACGAGTCGATTCATTCAATAGCGCAGCACAGCTCTCGAGGGTCTATTAGAGTCGAGAATGAAGAAGAAAAGTAAACGCATCCAGCTTGTTAGAGATGACTTGCGGACGCGCATCACCTGCGCGCGCGCGCGCGCGCTGATATTTCCCGAGCCGTGCATAAATAGATAATTGAATGTCCGATAAGGGGCAGCGGCGCATCGGCGGACGAAAATGAATTATTTATGTGTGCGCGCGCGGACTAGCGCGGGATGGCAATCAGCAGCGATGATGTTACATGCAAATCGCACGCGCCGCATACCGACGATGAAATGTTGCAAGTTGCGTGCGCGGATTTGCGTTATAACGATGTAAACTTTGCTTCTTCGATCCGGAGAGGCACGCGGTTGTTATTAATTAAAATACCACGGGGTACATGAACACCCGTTTATCTTATCGCGCACTTTGATTTGACAACATTTTATTCAATATTTTATAACTTGATTGCGCAGCTTTTTACATTTCACACTAAATTTTATTTCAAGCTCGCGACTTTGTCCTGGTGTTTAATAAAAAGTAAATTTGTTTCTACTCTTTGTTCTAGACATAGTATGTGTCAATCAATTTTAAACAAATTAATTTTATATAAAAATTTCTAATAATGCACTTCAGCGCGCCATCTCGGACTCAACTATTTAACTATAACTATGATTGAATCTCAATGCCAACTTTTATCCTATAGAAAAAGGCTGTCTTTAGGGTTTTCTCGGTAATTATTCGAATTTTTCTTGCTGTAAAAACCATCCTTGGACTTTAACGAACATTTTAAAACAAGAATTAGCCAAATTGGTCTAGGCGTTGTTGAGTTATGCGTTTCCCAACAAATTTTGCGATTCATTTTATATATTTTTATTTTAAAAAAGTGAAAAAAGTGAATTTTTACGAACTAGTTCCATAAAAAAATGTAGTCTAAATACACAACCTATGAATAGCCTCCCTGTCAAGCGTGACAACCCTTTTTCTCTGGAAGACAACCCCCTTTCATCTTTTTTTTTTACATAGCAGTATACATAAAAATCGTTTCTTATATAGTGCACGCCATTCAAAACGGTACATGTGCTGAAATTTGACGAACTAACCGTTGAAGTTTCTTCTCTTTTTTTCTCTGTGTGAGCAGTAAAAAATATAAATACCACACTGTTATAATGTAATGTCCCTTTGAGATTAAAATATTTAAATTTAGCATGTGTTGAGCATAGAAACTGTTACGTGTGTTAAGTATACTTACTTAGGTACACGCAGTTGTGAGATGTGTTTTCGCGGTGACCACATGGGGAGGCAGGTGCCCTTTATTCACCATACCCACCGATGACATTAACAGCTGCTTATGAGTTATTAATTTATTTCGCCCCTACACTTGGCGCGTCGAAATTGTTCAATCAAATACTGTTTGTTTTATTAAGATTAATGAATTTTTTGATCTTGTAGGTAATAAAATGTGTTGGTGGAAGCATAAAACTGTATTCCTAGAACATTATTTTCGTTAGTAGATAATTAGCATGGAATCAATTTTTACTACTGCGCGCGCGCGCCCAGCTCAAAATAGTTCATGCCCAGGTGCTGTGGTTGCGGAGTGGAGGTCGTAAAGTTATAAGTACCCTTGCCCGAGACGAAGGAGTATCGGTATTATTAGCGACTGACCATTATTGTGTTGCATGCGCACCTCTACCACATGTCGCATTTGCGATATTTTATTATTGCCACACGACATAATCAAAAATCTACAAATGCGATGTTTTAGAGCAATTTTGATTTGTGTCGTGTGATATTTTCGGTTAGATTGTTGTGTGTGAAAGATGAAAAGAAACATGCGTCGGCGCAACGACACACATCTAGGTAGTCATGCGTTCGCCTTTTGCATATTTATAAAATATAGTTTTGTTTCAATTTTAATGGTCATTAATTTTCTACAAATAGGAACCTATTTTAAACATCGCGGAACGATCGTACTTACAAATATGACCATGCGCCACACACTAAACTGATTTCATAGGTTAAGTGGAGGAGAATTATGAACAAGAGAAAAGGTGTACTCGTACGTAGTTATATTACTAAATATTTCTAAATAAATTTAATGCCCGCCGCGGTTTCCTATACTCATGTTGAATGTGTGTGTGTGTGTGTGGAATTTTGTATGCTAGACGTGTCTCGATTTAAATCAGCTACCGGCCGGGAGTGACACTGACTGTCGGTGCGATGATCATTCAAGTCTTTTTATTGTTTACTCATTCATAAATTCATACGACATTGGGTGTTGGTGCGGCGACGCCGCGGCGTCGATGCCATGCAATTTCTGTAATGTTTTTGCTTGTTGCAGATATTCCGACGCAGGTGCCTCCGCTCACGCCTGGCACGAACAAAACGATGACAGAGGCGCTCAAAGCGTCTTTTGCGTCTTGGGAAAAGGAACAGATTCGACTCAATATTACCAAAGGTAAGGGAATTTCATTTTTATCTGTTATAGGCAACCAAGTATACAAACACTTGTTTATATTTAGTATTTTTCTGTTCGTGAGTATGCAACCGAATTAAGGGGCACACCTAGTGTAAAATTTTCAAAAAATCGAAAATTTTTTTACCATATTTCGATAGGTTATACCTTTAAAAATAACATACTAAAATTTTAACTTGATATCTGAAATAGTTTTTGAGTAACAGCCATTTGAAAGAGTCGCCGCTCGGCAGTTAGATAGTTGCATTTTATCTTTAAACGCGTTTTTCTCGAAACAGCATTTTTCGAATTTGCTGGCGTGATTACTCGAAGACAAATGATCCGATCGCTATTAATTTTTTTTTGCATCTTCTCTATATAGTTCTCCATACAATGACCCTCCAATTTTATGATCTGATCAAAAATCGAATTTTGGCAGGCCAAAAACGACCAAAATTTTGGGAAAAATTTAACTTTTTTATTCAAAATGCCGCTATTTTGTCAAATTTTGATTTTTTTGTTCGCCCGAGGGTCATTGTATAGAAAATATGTTTTAGTTTAAGGAGAATTTTTTCTGTTTGGTTTTATCGACGGGGAAGGCTGCAATCACGCCAGCAGTGGAGGACCTTTTTTTTTTGGCGCCGCCGGAGATCGCGTGTCATTTCAAAACTAATTGATATTTTATTTCAAAAAATTTACTGTGTATTCACAAAACGTGTATAAACATACCCTCCAAATTTTAAATAGGTGGATTCAATAGTTTCCTTTATATTTAATTCCAAAAAATTTGCAATTTTTTAAGTCGTCACACTAGGTGTGCCCCTTAACTCTTAAACTATTGGACAATTTTCCTAAAAAAATTCGTGTGCGTTCATAATTTGATCATAAAAATAAAATGATATAGATTTAATTAAAAATTAATATTTTGAGGTTAAAAATGCAATATTTCACGTGAATTCACATCCAAAATTTTAAATTTATTATAAATTTGATTTTAACAGTTTTATTTTATTTAAAAAAATGCAAATGATTTATGATGACATTTATTGATGAAGGGGTACGAAATTAGCCAAGAAATACCTTGCGTCATCTTAAATAACACGATCAATTATAAATAATAAAGTCGTGGATAATGTTGGCGCATAAATGCGATCGCAATTTATTAATACGTATAATAGCCGCTGTTTTGCGTCTAACAGTAACACGCAGATTAATCAGCACACAGCATCACTTGCAGCACGCAGCCAGAAATATGCTGGAATAATTGCAATAACATAAACCTAACGGATCGCCCGGATAAATTCCACGCACCACACATTGGAATTCTTTATTCTTTAAAATTCAGCGCGCTTGTAAATTGCACTGTGTGTGTCAAACACGTCGGTATATCGTGCGGCTAATAGAACTTGTTTCCCAAAAAAAATCTCCGATTGAGCGCGCAGATAAAGATAGACCTGTAACACAATGGATTCTCACCGTGCACAAGAAAGGGTTGATTGGTCAAGTCTCGCGACGTGTCCAAATACCGGAAACAATCAGATACGAGGTGCGGGCGGCGCGGGTCAGGGAAAGTTTCCGCTTCTATTGAAAATCAACTGCGTGTAACAGCGCGGCGCTTCCGGTGCGCGCTCGAAATTATATTTTATAATGTGCTACATTCGAAAATTTCTACTGAAAGACACACTACTGATGGTGAAGTAGTCGGTACTTTGTTATTTGCCCGATGTCTGATGTGATGTGATGCTGAGCGCTGAGTGAATCGCTGGAATTCATATGCACGCGGGCGAAAATCGCGTAACAATGACTCGCGAAGCGCGAGGGAGATTGAAAAATGTATCGTGATGATGATACACGCGTTTGCAACTTGTTTTCAACTTCAGATTTCTCTGCCGCGCTGTATGAAGTGCAGCGATGCGTGCGCGCGCTGAAAAAGTCCGTAATACACGTGGGCGTAATAGTCCGTTCACAATTGGCGCGCACTGGACCATACACATCGGTATCAAAGTAAAAATCTCTAATTACAGCCGCATGAACAATGACTTCATAGCGCGCTCAATATGCTTTTATAGTTTTGGCCGCTTTTTATCTCATCTGCTGCTGCTGGTGCTGCTACTTTGCTGGCGATTCTTCTACATGACTCGGCGCGTATTCAAAATTCGACGCGGTGTTTTGCAAAAAAAAAAGAGTAAATTATTTGGCAATATTGAAATAAAAGTGAAACGCTTTTTTCGGACGGCTTGTGCAAACTGAAAATAGTCTTGGGTCAACACTGTCGGCGTTTTTGATCCTGATCATGGATATTTGTAGGTGCAAACACGCGGAATTGTAATAACTAACATTGTTATTCTGTTTGCTTTAAAAATATTGGTCAAACCATAACTCACCAAAATTTTCAACCCAAAAAATCTCAACGAGTTTGAATGAGTTGAGTAAATATTTAATTTAAAGTTTAATTTTTTTATTTTAAATTTTTTCATTTTTTGCTCTGCAAGTTGTCTATTTGTGTATTTTTCTCTTGGAATGTGTGATGTGTGTGTTGTGCACTAATGTCAACAATGAGCGGACGTCAAATGGGTCTTAATTCTCTCCATCATCAGCTCACCATTAGCCAGAAACGCTGGCAATTACCGCAAAGAAGTTGCACTCGACTTCCTCATTCACCAAACATGAAAATTTTCAATCTCGCGCAGGAAATAGTAACACGCCGCCAAGAAATTCGAAAGGCGCCGAAAGGACGCGCAACAAATCGCGAAGGGGAAATTTTGTATTAGCGTGTGTCGCACCCGCGCCCCTCCAAATATATATGGACTTTTATCAATCGGAAATAACCCGAATGATAAAAGCGTAACCGCGTTACGCGAAACAATTTCCTAATTTTGTGTGTGGCGCGTGTTTTACTAAATAAAAATCACATCTTTTGCAGATCCACGAAACTGGTCGGAAAGTCACGTCGCCCACTGGCTGCAATGGGCGTCTAAGGAGTTCTCGCTGGAAGGCATCGCCCTGCACCAGTTTCACATGAAGGGCAAGGATATTTGTGCAATGGGCAAGGATGCATTTCAAGCGAGAGCGCCTGCCTTTGTCGGTGACATCCTCTGGGAGCATTTGGAAATTCTACAAAAAGGTAAACATCACTAAACTAATTTAGTCATTACCAAAAAGCGGAATTAGAAAATTACACCAAAAGCACCGTTTTGATTCGAATGTAAATCCGAAATAAAACCAACAGTTCCTGTTGTTCGCCGCAAATTGTATGACTCACGATTATAATGAATGTGTAACGCCTTAATAATAATAATAATCATTATTATTACTTGGTAATTAGTTAATTAATTAATGCAGTTTTCAGTGTTTTAGCGCTGGGTGTGTAAAAAGTTTAGCAATGTTTAGTAACTTGCGTCAAATGTGTGCAAAGAACGAAAGCGGGGCACTGGGCAACCATGAAATTATTTTATTTTAAACTTTAAACACGAATCGATTAATTTATACACCGTAAACACAAGTTATCGCGAAGGTTGTTTTATCATGCACAATTTAAGGGCAATCAGAGTCGTAAAAATAAAAATCAAACTAATTGACTTGATAATTACTTTAAGCAAAACACAAACACAAAAAAAAACACATTCTAGTCGTGGTCGTTTTGCGCGAAAACAAGTAAACGTGTTGCGATTGTTAGGAATTATCGAAATCAACGAGCGTGCAAAACGCATCTGATAAAGCTCCTTTCGTTTTGTTGCCACACACACACTAACACACACGCGATATTATTGTAATTATGCAAACTCGTAATAATTGTTATGATGCGGCTGGAGTTTTCTTCATTCGTATCGATCGTTTACGTGCCAATTATGTACCGTTCGAGATAAGCGGCTAGCTGGAATATGTACTCACTTGTTAGCAATATGATTCTTAGGCATTTGTGGCACATTTTTCACGTTGCAGATGTGGAGCGAGAGCGTTTCCTGGCGCAATCGAACCAGAGCATTTTCGAGTCGATGAGTGTTCCGGACCTGACCTACCTGGACCACTACAGTTCCACGGGAGTTATGGCTGGTATTGACAGGAAGCCCATCATACCTCCTGCGCCTGCGCACACGCCCACACCATCTACACCTGCGCCGAATAACAATAACTTCATGGAGGGTAAGTTTTTATATCAATTTTTATTCTTTTACATCGAAAACAATTATAATATAAAAATGAATCGGAAAATTTGTTGGTAAGCGCATAACTCAACAATTCTTGCACCAATTTGGCCATTTCTTTTTTTAAAATGTTCGTTAAAGTCCAAGGATGGTTTTTACGGCGAGAAAAATTTGAATAATTGCCGGGAAAACCCTGAAAACAGTCTTTTTCTATAGAATAAAAGTTGGCATTGAGATTCAATCGTAGTTATAGTTAAATAGTTGAATCCGAGATGGCGCGCTGAAGTGCATTATTAGCAATTCTTTATATAATTAATTTCTTTAAAATAAAATTGCGAATCTTATTGATAGAATTGTCTAGAACAAGGAAGTAACAACGAATTACATTTTAATTAAACACTATCGCGGTTATAGTTTATCCATACCTATTTTACAGTTTTCTGTAATTGTTAATGAGATAAACGTCGATTAACCAACCGTAAAAACTTTGCATACAAAGAACAATTTTTATTAAACATGTTGTGTCCGAATGTTGGTCATAATTCAAAAACGATCCGCGAAACATATTAACCCAGATTAGGTAACAATACAGAAACTAGTGTAAACACACTCACCTACACACACACATCGCTTGAAACTTTCGGAATAATTCAGCGTGACGATGTGCCTCGTTTATAATTACGCAAGCTAATAACACCTCCGCGGCGGCGGTTGTTCATACTTACGTACATACTGGCCGTAAACAAATAAAAGTGCACACGAACGACCCGCACAAGATACTCATCTGGGTATTCGGAAATCTTTTTGTTATTATGACGCAAAGAGACGGCCTAAAACCTCGCCAAGCAAATCGCAAACAAAATGCTCATTGTGCATAGAATGCTGCTAAAGCCAGGGTGGTGATTATTACGTTTGGCGTGCGGATTTATTAACCGTTTTGTATGATTGTATAACTCGCGGCACTTGATCGCGAAGATCAAGTGAGGTTATGCATCTATCTAGGGACTAGCGGATCGGTTATGCAGATCGCTGCACTACCAACTGTAATATTACTTTTTCGATTCAGAGCCGCCGGCGAGAATTGATAAAAGGTCAATTAGTTAAGCGAATCGTTTACCCATTCGCATGCATCGATTTCTTTTCGAATATTATGTAAATCCGGCGGTGTACCAATAATAACATACGCATATCCGAGTAATAAATGTGTACCGAACGGAATTAACATTTCGAACATTAAATTTCCATATACATGTGTTCTATATGTTATAATAGAGCTATTAGCTCATAGTTGCAGAAAACAATTGCGAATTACACGAACGATGAAAACACACATAAACGACGTGCACGAGTCGGAGCCACCAGACCGGTCAATCTATTTCATAAAACGCATTTAAGTCTATAGCGCGCATTTGTATGTTTGTGTGAGGATGGGTATGATAGTGAAAGTTAGATAAGGAGGCTTCGTTTTTTCGGACATGCTTCGCTTCCAACAATGCCTTCTTGCACCGCACCTCACTCTCTACTTCTTGTGTGTGAAGTGGTAGCGGCGGGCCATTCGCAATCCGAATCGGAATCGCAACTTGTTTTGTTTTTTACTTTACTACCACTCATAATTCGTCCGTGGACACTTCAAATACAAGTTGTGCTTTGTGTGCTTCACTCGGTTGGAGATTTTGATTTTTTGGCGGAAAAATTGTGTCCGATGTGTTGTGTGTTTGGTGAACGTTTCGCATCATTAGTTATTGTGTATTCGGTGTGCTTGGCGGCTGAAGTGGATTTTTAAAATGGCATTAGTCTATCGAGGTGGGTTTCACGAGAGTTAATTATTTCCTTTTTGCGTTAGAAGAGACACGCATTAAAACACAATCGGTGATTGTTTCCTGAAGTCAAACGGACGTGTTTTGCATCCTGCGCGGATTTAGGAATTGACAAAAACTCACAAAAACACTTCTAGATTTCTTATACTACTTATACTTAAACATGATAACTTTATACCGACAAACAAGAGGAACTGAAGATTCGTGTGGAGAGTGTGTGGATATCGAGGAAGTTGACCGTTTGCTTTTTTTTCCTGCACGTCGACGAGGCAGGAAATATTAAAATCACATTCTTGAAGGCGATTAGCGTCTGAATGTAATTAGAAGTCAATGTGATACACGTATAAATTTCTTATCACTAATTAAAATTATTACCAACATATTTCATAAACTTCAACAGCTAATAAAATTAGTTGCTTGACGTTTTTCTACCATTACCTGGAATATGATAAGATAACAATTTAAAACGGTAAAAAGTGGCAACATTTCAATTAAGAATTCAACACACAGCGTCGTGAATCTTGGAATATTGGTTCCCTTAGGTTGAAGGTACCCTTCAACCCTCCCATATCCGGTGGGCAAACCAATACATGGGTCCCCTTGACAAAAACAAGATTTCTTCGCTGAATTCTTGCCCCGCTCACGTGCTGAATGCAGAATGAAGAATGAAGAACTAAATACATTTGCGTACAAGTATATAAACGCGCGCACAGGGCAGGTAACACGATCGCGGATCTGCCCACTGGCACTACCCTATCAATGCAGAGGAAGTAACCCAAGTGGCTCGTTGTAAACATTATACGCGCGCATAATGCACACGTGCGCGCTGTTTACCCCTCGCGTTCCGGTGGTTTCTTTTCGGGGCGCTCGTAGACAAGATGTGCCACTTGAACTACGCCCGATAGACATCTCACACGTCTGCAGTGTTGCATCCCAATTTAGGGGAAGAAGAAAAAAGGGTGTACAACTCAACTCAACTACCAATGTCACTCAAACAGATGCTTCTCGGCAACTCAAGATGTGCACGTTTAATTATTTAGTTATTAATATTATGCAATGGGCAAGTATGCCGATTGCGGTCCGGCGGGTTGTCCGAGTGTTGGTGTTGCTGTCGATGGACGGAACGTGCTCAATTGCAAATATCCTGCTCTGGGATGTTCTGTAAACTTAAGTAACTAACGGACACACGGCGTGCGCGCTCGCGCGCGCTTATCAACCGACCTCTCTCGTCTCTATTAAATATTTATTATTTCGTTATACATTTACACGCTTGCAAAGGATGTGTATCTCTAACATCCACGCGCAATTTGTTAAAAATATCTTCATTTTCCTATGGGCGCGAGTCAGATTAAATGAAAATTTGAATTTTAAGCGCACCAAACGCGCAATTAAAATGTTTATTATTCATGCGTCGTGTCAGGAATTATAATCGCGTTTAATTTACTCACTTATAACATAATATGTAATGTCTTGGTTTTCCAAGCAAGCCAAAGAGAACGGTTAGTTCAGGCTAAAATTAAAATTATTTTATATTTAAACCTAAATCTTTGAATTTTTTTTTTTTATTTTATTCACATTGGTTTGTATTTCTGTTTTTGCGATAATTTCTTTTACATTATTCTGCGGTGATGCGATAAGAGCTATCGCTTATCGCGAGCGACACTCGTGTAAACACAATGGTTTCGTGTTGGGTTGAGATAACGTGTGAAGAACACATTTTTCTGTTATTTCATGCAGTGGGTACAAATAGACGCATAATCACTTTAGAATTACTCACCATTGAAAGTTCTCTGAGGAGCGTGCGCGTTCGAGACTCTCGGCGGTTAAGTGCACTTTGCGAAATCAATGCGGGCGTTTAAGAGCAATAAGTTTCAATCAAAGTTAAATTAATTGCTGTGTTATGTTTATTTTTAACTGATTAATAAATAAAAATTAATAGGATTTTATCAAGTTCTGGTAATAGTAAAATTTTTAGTTTTTAATAAATTACGTGAAATCTAATCAATTTTTTGACGTAATTTTTTCAAAACTATATTTTACATTAAATTCTGGTTCTATCTATGTAAAAATTTTGTTAAAATCATTTTTTTATTCAAAGTTATGGACCAAATAAATAATTTTCTATTTTTTTTACAAAATCAAATTTTAAATGCTTATAATTTATTCTAGGATAATGCTACAAATAAAATTTTCATGTAATTTGATAGAAAATTTAATAGAGAATATAATTTCAAAGTAATTATTAATCTAGCTTAAGTCGTTCTCGTGTAATTAATGAATTACAATTACAAGAATTATCCACCATGGCGTCAACCGCAATTGTACTTTGATTGTTGGTTATTCATTAATTAATTGTAAACTAATCAATTAACGTTAAAAATTGTTTCATAAATTCATTCAATATTAAAGTCTGAATATAACAAAGCAAACATTTTGTCGAAAACAACTTTTTGTCAAAAGTTACAGAGATTTAAAGTAAATAATGTAAATTTTACAAAATACCACTTCAAAGCTTTATAACTTTTTGTACAAAAATCATATTAACATTATTCTTGCGAAATTAAATGTAGAGTTTAATGCAGAATTTACTTCTGAAAGAATTACGTATTTAACACAAATAGTTTGTGATTAATTTGAATTTATAATTAATAGACAGCCTAGTCTATAAACAACAATTATTGCATCGAAATAAATATACCAATGCATTGCACCACTTTGAATGCTCACGTGCTATGGTGTCAGGTTGCTTGGCGGAGATTTCCGGTCCCGGAAGTTGCACAATGCGCGCCCGCGCGCCATTCAATCGTAGACAAACACGAAGACTGCATTTTCGGATCACTTTGTTCAGTATATGAAAGTCCTGTGTGCGCTTTTAATTGAATTGAAGAATTGAGATGAAGAACATTCGGAAATGCATTTGTTTCGACCAAAGAATAAAGACGATGCGCGATCGTTTGAAAATTTTCCGCATTTTATATACACACACAAGCTCTAAGGGTAGCCTATAAAGTCACGATCGAGTTTATTACAGAGCGTAATTCGATTTGTCCGCGAAAAAGCTTTTAAGGGAGTCTTGTAATTGTGTTTTGCTTTGTTTTTATCCGCACCGATGTCTATCATCACCCACCAAAAATAATAATCAAGCGAAAATGTTTTGTTTAAAGTGAGGGGTGTATGTGTTTTTTTTATTTGTCTTTTGATATAGTGGTGGGGGAAGAAAGCTCTCTGACACACACACATGTATTCTAAGTCGCGTTAAGTCGGGGGCCTCGGGTCGCGATGCTCACTCCCTCTTCGCGTTCGCGCGCTCGCGCCGCTCGTCAGTCTTAAATCGCGCCTCTCCACGAGCGGTCGCCACATCCTCTCCCGCCCGAACCGGTAGTGACGTAGTCCGGAACCACGGAGTCGTCCAGGAGCACCATGGTGCTACAGGTGTTGGATCTAGTCTGCAATACGAACGAACCCTTCTACGGCGACTGCCCGCAGTCGACCTACACGAATCTGGATTTGAACGCGTCGCATCACACAACCTGCACCGTCCTGCCGCCAGGTACACTACCGCAACCACACATACACACAGTATAAGTTATTCTTCTTCATTATGTGTTAATTCCGGCGACGGAAACAATAATTAATCAGAGCATTATTGCGCGTGGCGCAAGAAGCGAACAATGTGGGCCAGGGTCGCCGCGTGTGCATGGATATTCTAACGATTGTTGTGATATTTCACTTTTTTACAAAATAAATGTCACTTTCGGCACTACCGATGCGCATCCAAGCTTGCGGGCGCACTTATTAAATATGATGCAATCGTGGCTTTCTAGCGATGCGAAATTACTGTATTGTCGTCGCACTTTGTTCTTCATCATATTCTGCATAGTTTTATTATGTTTTTTACGATTAATCAACATATAGTACGCATTCGATATTAGAATATATGTGACATGTTACGAAATGTGTATACGAAAATTATACGCTTTGAAGTTAAAGTATATGCAAAAAAGGAATGAAATAATCGAAACAAATGTAAATAATATTACTCAGTGGGTTAATTAAAATCGAGTTTCGATTGTGCATGATTGTCATCATCATGTCGCATGATGTCAATTCACGGATCGCTGATTATTTTGAGTATTTCGAGAGATTGATAAATATCAACACTCGGAATAATTTCTATGTTTGATTTTGATGTGATGTTGGTGCACAAATTAACCGCTTGGTTGTAATATTTCAATTTTGGCGGTATACGCACAACGGTTGTCTTGGGCACGGGCCCTTTGCAACAGGTGTCCACCATAAGGCAATGGCATGTGGAGGAGTCAGCTGTGGCCCAGCCATATGTCTTATAATGAAGAAAACCGAAAATCGGAAGAAGCCACACTCGACAACTTCCACAATTTAAATTTAAAATTTCAACAGACATAAAGCACACACAAACTTTATATTTAAAATTTTTATTAAGTATCTAGTTGAGTATTTATTTATATTTATTTATAAAATTATTTTGTGATAATTAGATTTGAGCTTCTTTGAATTCGCGTTGTGCCGCAATGTTTCCATCTCGATTTATATAAACGCAAACGCAACTAGTAAGAGCGGTTTCTTTAAAAAATGCAAACTGGTGTTCGAGAGACAGGTGCATGTGCAATGGAAATAAGAGCGCACCTGCTGGGCCTCCTTGTCCAGCGAGCGAGCGAGAGGGCTAGTAATTCATCGACGCACGCTTAACGGACTCCGTGATACTATCACCGGGGGTATTCTTGCGTGCATTCATATTACAAAACTGCCGCGGATAGAAATTGCGTTTTTACTTATTGTCTACCTATAGGTATCTATTATCTGATTACGACGACACTGAATTTCGACATATTTCACTACTTTGAGATTTTATCGCTTATCTTTTCAATTAACATGCTAAACACATAGTTTTTCAGTAGTGAATAGTTAGGTTATGTGCAAATTAATAGTTGTGGATTTCACCGCTGTGGCGCTACATTTCATAACCTAATTTTTCTTCTATTTTAATGTCGTTTCATATAAAATCAGTAATTTATTCTAGTAAAATTGATAGTGTATATATAATTTACGATTTAATCTTTCCTGTGTTTATACCTAAATTGATTAGAAGTTTATTTTCTTGCACTGGGCAAGTGTAAAATAATGTAAACCATGCGGCGATTATTAATATTCAAAGAGGCGTCCCGCGTCCATCTCGCAGGATATCCGGTTACATTGATGAGCGGCTCGTGCTCACGTTGATTGACTGAATCAAAAATAATCCTTCATCGATTCATCTTTTTTTGTGCGCGCGTATATAGCGGCGATGACCCGACTGCGTGCGTGTGCGCGCCGCGGGTTTTTTTTTATAGCGCCATAGTGGGAGAGACGCTCTCTCTCGCAGGATTTCGGTGCGGATGCGTAATAGGTTTTCTTGGACCAACGGCAGGAAAGCCGCTGCCTCGATGCGCCGATTTGTATGCGGCGCCGCAGCAGGAGGCGTTGCTCCGCAAGCCAATAAGGTTCCCGCCAGCGACGGCCTCGGTCGCAGGCGCCGCAGGATTTGTGCACATTGTTCTAAACAAGCGGTGCGCGCACATAGACCGCGGCCGAACTTAGAACGCGCAGCCGATTGGCGCGCGCCTAAACTTCTCCGAATCGATTTTGTATATATTTGTATAGCAGCTATGAGATGTTGGCTTTAAACTTAGTTTTAATGGGTTTATTTGCGTTTTCTAGGTGGTTATGGAATGCGCAGTCCAGCATGCCCACCCACAGAAGAGATCCGCGATGACGGATCGCCGCCCCCGGGTCCGCCGCAAGGATTCCCACATCTCCAAAGAAGCCCCATCTTCCATCACCTGAAAGAAGGCTACAAAACCACCTGCCCGCTGCCCGAAACGAATAGCTACGGCATAGACAGTCTGCAATCGTTAAACAACGACGAGCAGAACGCGTTCATGACGAACAACACTCACTACTCACCCGAGGAGCACGAGTACCAGAATCTGGAACAAGGGCATCAGCCGCAGTTCATGGAAAACTCACCGGAATTCTATCCGACGAGCAACAACCCGCTGGAAACAAAGTTTAATCCGTACAAAAATTATGTTAGAGGTAATTAATTTGTTTATAATAATATTATAAACAAATTTAAATTAAATTTTTTTTTTTTTGGTTTAGGTACTCGTTATAATGATGTATATAGTGATAATTACGGCGATGCGTACGGCGCGCCCTTCCAGACGGTCCCCAGTGGGCCACCGAATGACCAGTGGACGCATGGACACGATATGGGTAACCTCGGCCACGTGCGTTCGCACCCGCCCTTCATGCCGCCGGGGATGTCGGTGCGTGATCCCCTCGGTCAAGATACCAAACCCATGATGCAGAACGGCATGATGGGCGGTTATAGTAATAATAGTGCAACGGGCGGACCCTGCTTCACTGGTAATTTAAAAAAAACACACTTTATATAACTAATTGGGTTTAATTGTGTTTGTTAAATGTGTGTTCTCAGGCTCGGGCCCAATCCAACTGTGGCAATTCTTATTGGAACTGCTCACGGACAAAACGTGTCAGCCTTTTATATCTTGGACGGGCGACGGTTGGGAGTTCAAACTCACCGACCCTGACGAAGTCGCGCGGCGTTGGGGTGTGCGCAAAAACAAACCCAAGATGAACTACGAGAAGTTGTCGAGGGGGCTGCGGTATTACTACGACAAAAATATTATCCATAAGACTGCTGGCAAGCGTTACGTCTATCGTTTCGTGTGCGACTTGCAGACATTACTTGGGTGGGTTTTATTTCTTTTTGTGTGTTTAATGTATGCAACCAAGTATACATGTTTTTACTATGGAAATTTATACATACTTGCAGATATACTCCAGAGGAACTGCACGCAATGGTAGATCTCAAACCCGAAAAGAAGGAGGACGACTGATGCATATCAAACTCTCTACTCTCATCGCTGTAAAGTGCGCAAACAGATCCAGCATGGACGAAGGTGCCTATTTCAAGCCAGCGCCGCCTTGACGCTGGACCAGTCCTACTCGTACCCGGCAAGACTGCTTTGCAAACGTAACTACAAATCATTTTGTTCAACACACATAGACTCATGTTCAAGTTTATTACTATTAGTGAAATGAATCAAAGTAAAAGAATGATGATCGAGAATCGTGCGCGCATGCAACAAGAGCAATTTTCAAATCGTTTTCGTGTTTAGACAATTGATAATTATTAGAAGTATCAACTTAATTAAATAAGTTTGTTAGTTGTGATGTTATCATTAATTAAATTGTTTTTGTAAGGTATATTGACGAAGAAGGAAAAAGAATGGAGGCAAAGACGCGTGAAATTTATGCTCTCTGGCTGTTTTGCCGTTCTATATAAAATATTTATTAATAAGCACCGAGGGTAATATCAAATTACATCTATATAAAATAATATATCAATAATATTTGTGATAAGCCTTAAATCAGATAGTGTATGTTTATATTTGAACTACTACTGAGGGGTTGAATGTTCAATGAAGTTGATTCGATTTGTCCGTGAAGCAAACACGCGCCCCACACCCCTGATTGTTACGTATTTTTATACTGCTAAATTTTCTGTTCGACGAGATGCATTTTAGCCAAATTTGGAACGGACGTCTTCAACTGTATCTGATTCAAAGATCAAACACCACCGCATGCAGTGCTTGTGCATTTTACTTAATTCGATAATATAGCTCAAAGACTATATTAGTGTATTTTTTAACGAGAGCTAAAACAAATGGAGCCGTTTATGTTTTGCGCGTTGATGCGCGGACCAACGCACAACACAACCACAATGATCCGGATACGAAATTGTTTATATTTATTCAAATAAATATTTGGTGAAACCAAATTTTTGCGTTGATCTGTTCCACGTCAATGTGATTTATCAAATGCGACGTTTTGTTTGTGTTAGCTCTTCTCTCCACTGTGGCTCTTTCATGATAAATTGTTTCCATGTAATACATTGTGCGAAGTTTTACTACTTCGATAATCTTATTTGGTCTCATTTGAATAATAAAAAAAAAACAAAGATAATTAAATATGCTTATTCATAAGTTATTCATAGCATTGGATAGAGCTTAATGCTCCTGTTTAAAGGAGACTCTGTATTTATTCAATGTGTATAAATATTAATTAAAAACAAATATTATGTAAACCGTTTTTGTTACTTACCTGAATCACGAAATGTAGCGGCCATATTTTTTCTGAGGCTGAAAGAATCATGCATATAATGTAGGCAACCCATTTAGCTTTTTGTACTTGTTTGTTTATGTATTCATAAAATGAAAGATATTCAGATACCTTTTAGTTCTTCTACATGTTGAATGTAAAATCATATTTTTACCGATTTCAACCAACTACATCAAAAGATATTAAGTCTTGAAATTTTTTCAAAGTACTTCCACGAACGCATTGTATGCAAATGATTCGAAATTGCAATGTAAGTATATTACCACGTCATAGATGTCACCCTATGTCACATTTTGTAATATAATTCCGAAAGCAATAAATAAATTCTTTTCTCAACATTCTACACTACAATAACTCTTTATTTAACTTTTATTAAACTTGTTTTAATTATTTTAATGCGCGAGCTGTATTCATGATAATTTGAAATGTTTGACGCATCGGAAGCGGAAGTAGCAGTCGCAGGCCAAAACGTCACGTCGTACCTCCGTGCGCGTTCGGTTTGATTGGTGGTCGGTCGGTAAATATGGCGTACTGTTTTGGCGTCCACCGTTCAATGTGCGGTTTGAGTCGACGATTTGAAACCCATACCGCTCGCATAGCGTAAATAAATAATCAGGAAATTCGAAACCTTCGAACTCGCATGGTGTGTTGAACCGAGCGCGCTCCCGAGTCGAACCTCAATCGATAGCGCACTAAATATTAATTAAGTTTAGTGGGTCACTATCATGTTTTGCGCCTAATTCGCTACACTTCACGCCAAAACAGTGATCAGTTTCAATGAAAAGTTGAACTTGTTGACGAACGCTTAGTGGCTGCCCGCATGCGACGCATCGTTCCATAATGCAATGCGATTACTGTGATGGATTTGCTTGTTGAAACGCATACGACACGGTTTTAGGTTATAAACTGGATTCAACATATCTCATTGAGTATCTTATGCTATGGGTGGTTGCATTGGGACTGCTTAGTAACAGGTAAGTTAATATCGTGTTTTGAATTGCAGTGTGGTGCATGTATCTAATTTGATGTGTTTGTAGATTTATTGTGGGTGGATATGGACTGGTTAGGGAGTCAGTCCCAAGTGTAAGGTTGAAGTGTCATGCAGTCTGCTGATTCAAGCCGTTACATTAATTCGGTATCTGACCTTTACGGGGACGACGAAATCGAATTTCTTTTAGACGACATAAGAGAACTGGAGCCAATTAGCTGCAGGCCAGAAGATATCCAGGTGAGATGCTTTTTTCTCTTTTGTTTTGATTTTTTCTTCATATTTTGATGTATAACATGTTTATTTTTTAAATCCAGCATGTCCTGTTAATTTTATTATAGTTTTAGTAGTAATATATAAAATGGGTTGTGTTGTCTTTTTGTTCATTTGAATTTATTTTGAATAAAAATTTCTAGATGATTTAATTGTGTTATTTTATGCACGCAATATCTAGCGGTACGCCCCTAACGTGTGTTTTCTTGTTCTCCTTCCTCAAGTTATGCCGTGGTGCAGATGTAAATGTAATTGATGTGGTATGTAGCTGAAAATGAATATTTTTCTAGTTTAAGACGTGTTTCTCCACATATAGCCCTATAGCGTGTGTTTAGTGAATTCTGTGATTCTGTGAATTTGTCAGAGCGGCGGCACTAAGTGTAATGTGTTCCAGGCGGGGGATGGCATGAGTTGTGTGTTGCAGGACTTTGAGATAGCAGGCAGTGGCACAGGAGAACCCGCCGGCGGCGGCGCTGAGACGCCACTCGGCACCGTCCATTCCTGGGATTCACACTCGCACTATCGACGACGCTCAGCATCGCCTGACCTATCACTCTACTCAGGCGTCATTGTCTATTGTGATCACACTCACCTCAGAACACCAACCGGATTATTTAGGATATTATTAATTGTAAGTATTAATTGAAGAAACAGTCAATTGGTTTCTTCTGATCTTTTTCCTCTTTTAACCTGGCCTCGCTTGTTTTTATGATGTAAAACTGTATTTTACCGGGACAAGTTGCTAGGAGGATGCTGTTTATTTTTCCGAATCTGGGTTTAAAGCTATGAATTCGCAGCTGTTGGATTGCAAAAACAGGAAAATCCAGATTATTCTTAATTTATTAACTATGTTATCAATATCTTTGGTTAATGAGTTAGGGAATTAGAGTAACGTGCATAACTTAGGAAAAATTCAAATTTTACCAAAACAAGATTATGTTCTCGGAAGAGCTAATTTTCTACGTTTTACTTTAAAAATGATTGAATTAACACATTGTTCTTTACTTGCAGTTAACTACAATTGCCTGTTTAGCATGTTTATGCACAGCAGGCACAGTGAAAGTGACGCTCTTCATGCTTCCATTAGTAAACCGTATTAGACTGATGATGTTCGTCACTCTGCTGAGTATTTTTATTACATCTTTATTATTATTCCTGGACATTTCACATATAATATATTTATTCCCATTTCCGTGGGGAAAACTTGTAAGTACACATACGAGATGAGTGGAATTATTAAATTGATTAAAATTTGTTGTTTTCCTATAATTGCAGAACGCATATATCTACTTAAGCCTTAGTGTGTTGTTCCTGATTGCGTCAAGTCTACTTTTCCATACAGTATTTTTATCAGAGGCCTTCCTGTGGGTCCCTAAATGGACGCACCAGCAGTTGTTTATAACTGGGGTAAGTTACAAAATGGGTTATTTATGTTTGACTAACATCCCTAACTTTACTAATATTGTCATGTGTTTGTTGGGGTTTGTGTTTCAGTGTCTCGGATATGTATGTTGTTTAGAATCGTTAGTAATAACCATAATCCAAAAGTGTTCAAAAGATCACTACCAGCCAGTGGCGGAGGATCCTAGCATGAACCTGCAGGAGCGGCGGAGCTCTTCGCATCCGAACTCGCCGGATCACGTCAATCAGACGACGCATAACTATAAGCCGATAATTAATTACCAAATGCCGGCCGTCGCTTCCACGTCGCGCAATGAACCTTACAATTATCTCGACGATGTTCAGCCGTGTTCATCCAAAATGGCGCACAACGCTTAAAAATCCTTTCACTTCACTACACTCACCCACGTTGACAAACACATACACACTCTAAAACAAAAATTAAGAGTCTATTTATTTTCTACGAACGCTTCGAAACTTTGAGATAGCTGTACATAATAGAAGATATCATTTTCTTGTTACTAACAGCTTTTAAGATGTTTCTAATTTTCACTACATATCTTCATTCATCTTTGCGTTCTAAGCTCATCTAATTTAAGTCATTATGGTTTCGAAATTTAAGTGTACGGCTGATGGCACTAAACAATACTACAAGTACAATTCGTTTTGCGATGTGTAACGTTTAAGAAATTACTAGATACATATTGATGTCACAAATTAACGGATCATAAAACAACTATTTGGTTACCAGAGCAATTCGGTAAATGTGCGCAGGGTATCTCGAAAATTCAACGATGCTTTGTACATACCCTAAGTCGATACCCTGAGAAATTGTACAGGTAATTAAGTTACGACAAACAATTGATGATAGTATACGTAAACACGATGTTGGGAAAACACACGTCAGCCGATTATCGATATCAATTACATTATTACACAGTTGATAAACATTGACAGGCGGAGGAGTCAGCACACTTTAGATAATTAAATTAATTGAGATACGGGTAAATAATTTAATATTTAAATTATTCAACTAGACACGCACTTTAAATTGCAATAATGAAATCAAGCGGTCGGCAAGGAGCTAGGAGTTCGAATTACATCTTTCCGGTACTTTTAGAAACGAAATTAAGCCCTAAAAATGTTAACAGGCCTACTGAAATCGGCCAGGACAAAATTTATTGAAATTTACAAATTGATGATTGGCTCTACTGACAAAATTTTGTGTTGCATCTTTTATCCCTAAACGCGAAGCGATTTTTGTGAAAGTGTAAAGACAAATTCTTATGAATAGATTAAATTATTATTAGATACGTTTAGACGAATAATACAATTGACAAAGTACACAGTACACACAAAAAACTTGAATTTCAAAGAAGTAAATGGAGTTAACCTAAGATGTAATGTTAATGAAATTTAGTCTAACAAAGAACAACAAATATCTATTATAAATATAAAATTTCTTGTATAAAGTGTTCATACATAATTTAAGTATTTTCGAAATGCACATAATACTATTTTAATAACTTATGTACTTAAATTAATTCGACTAACCAACTACTGGAATACTTAACGAGGTGTCGCGAGTCGGAAGAGAACATGTAACCGCCTGGAATAATCTGGAGATGTTGTTTTCTCATTGCGAATTCATTTGAATGACAAGATTAGCGTACAAAATTAGGACCAAACATTTAGTGGTTGCCAAAATTCATTTCGACATTTCAACCGACCATAATACAACTGTTAAACACAATCTCAATTACAATCACTGCTTTGTTGTTATTTTGACGACATACAATCGTACAACTTGTTACAACTGGAGCACTAGGCGTATTCAAGCATTTACAATACAATGTCAGTATTAATTTATTGTGAGTTGATTAAACGGGATCATACACTTACGAACTGCCACAAATCTCTTGGTGTCGTGATTTCAATTTCACATTTAGTATCCGAGCTGAAGCTGAAGAAACCAGACAATCAGGGCGAATTTATTAAGCATTTAACCGAGGAGACATTGCAATAGTGAAGTCAGCGAAATGAGCTACACTGATCGATCATGTTATACCAAAGATTACGAAATAGCACGAAAACAATGCGATGCATTAGCGTTTAACAACACTTCTTGTGATTATTCGACTTGGAATCATTGTTTTCTCATCATTATAATGCAACATTATAAATTAATAGCAATTAATTGTACATTATGGTTTGTGTTCCGATATAGTGTGTTTATGTATAAAAATCATTGAAAACAAGCACTGTTTGATGTAATTCCCAATCCATACTCTATATTTTGTTTAATTTAACTTTATTATTTAATATATTAACAGGGTTAGTAATAAGAATTAATTTATATATGTTTGGTATATAAAGAGTTTTTTCTTCTGCTTTTTGAGCACTGTGGATATTCACTATCATGTTTAGCACTACGGGCGTTGACATCACTTGAAATTTTTCTTCTGCAATTATGCGTTAATATTCGGTGACTACAATGTTTATGTACATGACCATGCATATCAGGTCTTGAATAAACTGAAACTTTTCGTTTGGGTCCATTTGAGACACCACGGTACTCATCGAGTGAATGCACAGAGCTTTTCCGTGTATCGTCTTCTTGTTTCACGTAGATATTGGCTTTGATGTGATGCATGTGGGGATTGTCGCTTCCTGATCGCTTTCGATCGTCTTCAGATCTCACAACGCTAGAGCGTTGAGTACTCGTGCCTGCATTGTTTCTGTCTTCGGATTCTTTACGTTCTCTTATTATGTCGTTAATTTCAATGTCTAATTCTTTATATCGGTAAAGAAGGAATAAACTAAAGCAGCTCAGTAGTAAGCAGGTGCCACCAACCAGAGCCATAGGCTAAAAATGCAAAAAATAATATGGAATTGAAAGTAGAATAGTTTTTGGTAAATCTTACTCCTGGAGATTTATGTATCTTGGTGAGTGTCAGACATTCTTTCATTGACATGGATTGCGCTACGATTGTAATGATTGATAAAGTTAAGTTACTTATTATGTTCTATAAATAAACAAAATGAGCAAATTGAATTGGATATTAGAATTATCAGTTACTTACAAGTCGAACCCATAAGCTGGGATTATTCACCGCATATCCACAACAAAAGATTAAATACAAAGCGGTAGCGTTGCAAATTGTTGCTATGGCAGTTCCAATATTCAATTTTCGTTTGCAAGGGTGGAAGTGACAATAATCCGATACCACTACAATGGCTAGATTTGCACACAAACTGATCTATATTCAACACAATTTAAATTAGATGAAATTATCAAGTTCTAGTTGTAGACTTACAATTCCAACAAGTTGTAAGTTCGCAGTAATTGTACACGCAAACTTTCCAGATCGAAATATTTTCTTAACAATGTCATCGTGCGTCTGATTCACGGGAATGAAAGAATCCAAATACAAGCGTGATTTTCGAGCTGCCATCAATTTTGTGGTGTGTCGTATGAATTGAGGTTTAAAAGGTATTGAATTTTTATAGAAGTATATCCGGAGGTTTTGTAGTATACATTCCTAGAATACTTGAAGGTATATTAAATTGGAACAAAAAATTCAAGTGATAGCATAATCTAATCTACTAATTATCCAACTAAAGATTAAATAGATGATAAGTTTAATTCTATTTTGGGACTATGCGCTTTAAATACCGCAATTCGTTTTGCAGGGACGGATTTAAACGGATAAAATTTTTATCAACTTATTGTAAAAATGCAGCCTTTATGTCTCGTATCAATTGCGCAATATATTGTTTGATGTAGTTATGTTGTATAGTAACTGACTTAAAGTACCTACCCGAAATGACCAGTATTTTTGATTTATTATCAACAAGCATTTAGTTGTAGTGGGCGTAGAAGATGATTTGTTAGATATTGTGACAGTATTCATATTGCTTATTATTATTTTAGTCTTGATACTGTATTGTCACATTTAAGTTTATACGTGAAATCTCGCAAAGATGAGTAACAGTGTATTAAACATTCCTCAAGAGTCAAATCTGAGCGGTATAAATCGTAATTCTAAAAGAAAGCGAACAATACAATATGATACATTCGATGGAGTTGAATTTAAAGAGACTGCCATTATTCCAAGGTATTTACGGTCAAAACTAGTTCTAAACTTTTTAATTTTAATCTTTTATTGAAGGAGTAACACATTGTGTATGCTACCTCATTCAGCAACTTGGGAAGTGATTATAATAGCCAGCATAATTATCAACGTGCTTTTTCAATGTATAGCAATCACATACCATCAAGTTGCTGACAAGAAAAATAGTGCTTTCTACTTTATGCAGTACACAATGGAAGTGTTGTACATTCTGCATTTGTTCTTCACAATCCTACATCGGTATATTTTTCATTGAGATATTTATTTTCGAATTTAGTAATAACAAATCTTATTTTAGGAATTTTTCAATACATAAAAACGATTATTGTTCCAAGAAAATGCCATTTATGCATTTGTTTATTGGATTCATTACCATTATACCAAGCTACGAATTTTATGAGTATCTCTTGGACAGAGAGCCGTACATATATTTACAGACAATTTTAAACCTCAAAGTGGTTGTCAGATTGATTCATGTTTATTTATTCTTCTCTCGATGTCGTGTTGAGTGTGGTACGTTTCAATTAATTACAATTAATCAAATTTCAAAGATATTTTTAAACTATTTTTCAGAATTAAATAAATTGACGATTACTTTTATGGAAAGTTTCTATATAAACTCCATATACATTTGCTTGGTTGCCTGTATTTTCGGGTGGTTTGGTTGCAGTGGCTGTGAATTTTCCAATTGGACTACACACTTACAAGATGTTGTCTATGATTTTAAAGACATCCGAGAACGCTTGATCTATCCAATGATGTTTGTTGGAAGTTTGCTTTTGGGCAATTACAGTGGAATTATTATTCCTGAAACCATCCCAGAAATTGTCTGTGTTTTCGTTACTCTGATGGCCAGTCTCATATTAAAGATAAACTTTATGTTGGCTAATTTCATCGCTGAGTCTGTGCGCTCATATCGGAGAAACAGCAAGTTTAAAATGCGAATGAAGAAAATTCAAAGCTACATAGAATTTGAGCAATTGAGCAAAACTCTAAAGACTGATATAATGGAGTATTATAACGTTTTGTGGACAAAAAGAGCTGGGATAACAAATTTAAATCCATCGTTTCTTAAGTTGATACCATTATCATTAAAAGTAAGAAAAATTCAATCGTAACACAATATAACACAATAAATTAAAATTAATTATAATTTTTTAGAATGAGGTAACAATGGATTTAGGCTGGGATGCTATATCACATTCACATTTATTCCGCGATCAGAAATTAGCAGTAAAAACTGCAGTTGCAAAATTGATGGTAAGTCGCTTCATGGTAAAAGACGATGTCATTTACGATTCGGGCGACTTAAAAAGCTGTCTCATCTACATTGTTTCTGGCATAGTGCAATTGCTCTCCGAGGAAGATAATGAAAGTCCCATTTTGTCATTTTCATCCGGAACAGTATTCAGCGAATGTTCCTGTCTTATGTTAAGTCATTGCAAATACAAATTGCAATGTGCTTCGTATTGTGAACTGCGTGTCCTGCATTTAACCGACTTTTATCGCGGTATGACCTTATATAAGGATATCATCCGTAAGTGCCGTCAAATGTTGCGTGCACGGTTGCAATTTGCCAGAACGCTTCGGCGTAGAAAGAAGATAGATTTGGCCGAGAGACACTCATCTCGACCGATCCGTCGTATTAAGTTATACTGGCATAATATTCTGCAAGGCTGGCCAATTATTGATAACTATCACACGTCAAAGTATATGGACTTGTTTGCAATTATAAAAAACACTGATTTGAAAGTAAGTCAAATTAAATACTTAAACAAATAATATGCGATATAATATTTATGTTGTTTCAGGTTGAAGTGGTTTGTCTAACATCAAAATTCCCATTGATTATGGATCCGTACTCATCTTTCCGAAGATTCTGTAGTGTGTGTGTTCTTGTCGCATGTTTAATTCAAACAATTATCATTCCATATTGTGCCGCTTTTCGTCGGGAACTGCACCCAGGACTCCGAAGCTTCCTATTTCTACTTGACATCATTTACGTTTTAGATATTTACATGCAGATTACTACCGCCCTTATGCAAAACGACAATATGCTTACGAAGTTTTCCACTATTATGATATATCGCATTCAGCAATGGACGTTTCTCGTCGACGTTTTTGCCATTTTACCGGTTGACTATATTTACTGGTCGCAAGGATGCTCTCCAAGAGTATTTATTATGCTCAAGATACCACGCATTTTCAAAATTTACAAATTAATCAGATTTATACGAAATTTCGAAACAAGTATGGTAAATGTGAATGGGATATTCATTATTCTGGTTAAATATTATCTGATGTGGCTTATTTGTGTCTATGTCTTTGCTTGTTTATTCTTTGTACGAAGTTGCTACACACCGAATTGTGTCCCGTACTGTAAGTTACTTGAATCGAACTTCAAAGATGATTTTATGACAGAAGTGATTTATATTCTAGCATGGTATCCATATAATCTGGAATTATCAAACCAAACCCAAACTGATATCAAACCAGTAATGTCATCACTGCTTTTTGTGGCCAATATATTGTCGAATGGAAAGAAAATTGCTTACTCATATGACTATGTGGATAGTACGTTGACTTTATTCCTCATAATTATCGCCTACTATTTGATACCAATGGCCACGTCAGAATTAACTGCAAATCTTTATTGGAAGATGAAAGATGTTGCACAGTACAAAATAATCACCTCTTCAGTGTTGGACTACGTCCGCATTCATAAACTAAAACAATCGGTGGTCACTCGTGTGGCGAATATGTTGAATTTTCGATGGGATCATTCTCGAGGCTTGATCGAGCTATCAGCCAGTGAGTTTCTTCGAGAATTGCCAGTTAAGCTGGAAGAACGTGCACGTGAAGAGATGATCGGCCAATATTTCGATAAGCAAGTTTTATTTCAAACACTACGAGACACAGTGCGAAAACGAATTGTTTCCACTGCGGACCTGATATCATATCCGGAAGGTGCAACAATTATCGATTCCAACAATATAATCTCACACATATATATCATTAAAAGGGAGTATGCAAGGCAACGTCTGTGGTTCCCGGCGATGAGGAACGAAATACCCAAGAGAAGATTTTTTCGGCCGGAGCATGTTTTCCTGTCGTGGATCTTCTGCATGCAGTGCCGTCCTTTTTGAATGTGAGGGCACTTACGGCAGTGGACGTTATTGTTATATCGTATGGGACATTTATGGAAGCAATTAAATATGACCCGGGGTATCAGGAAACCTTGTTAAGCACATTGAAATTACACTTGGCAGCGAACAAAGTGATATTGCATCGGAAGCAATATTTTCAGCCTGCTGAACGTGTAATCAGACGTCAAACAATCTATTTTAGATACCAAATTAATGACGAAATTGATATTGAAGGTGTGTGAATGAAGAAATGATTTATTTTGTTTTTAAATTAACGGTTTTTTGTAGTTAAGAAAACACCGTTTATAATGAAAACAATCAATCCAAACAGTGCATATTATCTGGTCTATGAAATTATTCGTTGTTGTCTGGTAATTTTTCAGTTTTTCATTTTAAGTTTACAAATGAATCTACTCTATGAATACAGGTAAACTTGTTTTTAATTATTCTTTTTTATATTTAATTTCTTTAATTTTTAGGCATAACATACAAAAATTACATATAACGTGCGATGTTTTGAGTTGGATTGACATCTTTATAAGGCTACGCTTGCATTACTATCGCAGCGATGGAATCTTAGTAACCGATTTTAAGTCTGTTGCCAAACATTACATAACGCACGCGTTTGCGGTGGATTTTTATGCATCTTGTCCATTTTCCACTCTTTCCGTGGATGCAATGATCAATATTTCAAAACCGGTTGTTGTCAAACACTTTTTACTTTGTTTGTCACGACCTCTTCAGCTCTACCGTGTCTTTCTTGGCATTTCCTACTTATGCCCCAGGATTAAAGTAACGTCTGAAGTGACCATAGTGCGAATACAATGTATTCTTTTTATGATGGTCGTTATCCCAATCGGTGCAAATTTACTTGTATTAAGCGCGTGTGTCATTGATTCCGATAGTCTACGTTGCCCTATGAATGGTTGGGGTGGAGGTGATATTACCGAGATTACCCCAATGACATCACTGGTACATTATGCATATTTAGCTTCTTTGTATCTTCACGGATGTCCTTTTAATGGTTATGCAGAGAAGAGCAATTTCAGTTATACAATTTACCTCTTTATTACATTGATATCTTTATCGCTAGCGTGGTTCATGATGTCAAAGTTGATAAACCTCGGGGTAATTTCTACATGTAAAATTTTTTTTTAAATATTTGATTGAATATTATGTTTCAGTTGCATGGACAATTTATGACTTTACGTCTGCAAAATGATCGTACTCATTTTCAAAAGTTTGCAAAACTGGAAGGTGTCAATTCTAAATTAACTAAAAGACTATTAGAAGTGAATTCACTTTTGACTAAAAAGTCTAGTCGGACGGCACTGCAAGAAGCTAGCAAAAGACTGCCTCCACAATTATTCAGTGATTTAACGTATGGATTTAATGAACTATCCTTTAAGAACAACAAATTATTTTTTGATGCTGCACATTCCATTCAGCGACACTTAGCATCTCATGTAATCCAACACGAAGCTAATTTATATTCGAACAATCGAACTAAATCAGTTTGTTTTCAGTTTAAAAGAATTTTCTTCATAAAAGACGACATTATAATTCGTAATAATGATATTAACCAATACATATTTATTGTTGTAAGGGGAAGCGTAAAGGTCTCTGTCGCAGGATGCAAAATTGCCGTTATGCAAGTTGGAGGCATGTTTGGGTGCTTAAGCGATAAGAAAAGAATTAGACAACTTATTGATGTTACTGCTGCAACACATACGGAGTGTATATACGTTAAAAGCACAGTATTGAATCGGTACCTCTATAATTACAAAACCGTGAAACGTCGAATATCAAGTTATGTAAAGCAAAATATGGAATATGTCGAGGCTTGCGCAGCAACTGCAAATGATGACAGCTCAACTATTCAAGTACTGCCACCTACTCATACCACACGTTACACCCGCTTTTTTAAGAAACTTCAACAATCACTTCATAGAAGTCGAGGAGGATTTCGAACATACTACTACCTTTTAAACGTGCACCTGTCAGCGTTTAGCACAATGTTTATCTTGATTCTGCAGATGGTAGCAATGCACGAAGACCTAAGCTATCATTTTTACATAATGTTAGTTCTACATTTAAAAGCACAACATTATTAAAAGAAAACTAATTAACTTATTCGTAGATTATATTTGTTGGACGCGATGTTTATCGTGAAGATACTTCTTAGCTTTACGTTACCTTTTGTTGATGCGACGTCTGGCATTGTTGTTGTGAAAATGAAGACAATTATTTTTAGGTATTTGATGAATGAGTTTGCAATAGACCTGGCAAATGTCCTAATGCCCGAATTATATTTTGGATATTTTTTTAGTTCAGAATTTCATGTTGCGTAAGTACATACATTAAGAAGGAGTTTTGAATGCATTGAAAACAAGTATTTTCTGAGGGCTTCGAAACCTGCTCTTGACATTTTTATATCAAAAACACTAATTGATAAAATACTAAAATTTATATTATCCGTTTTTTGTAGATTACTTACTTCAAATCGCATTCTACGGATTATTCTTTTCGCCCGATATTATAATAGATCTCGTGTGAGTAATAATTTGACTCACTCACTACGCCGAATTTTTATTGCTTATATAACGCTTATCTACCTGCAATTCACCACGAATGTATGGTTTTATGTCGCCTGCAGTTTGCATGTTGGTCGCTATCGCAAATTTGTCTCTCATGCACCCGAAGAATACATTCCCATATTAACTTTGTATCATACTTACCTATTTTCTTATGTGCACGTGTTGAACGTCTTCACTGGAAATGGCGTGAAAGCAATCAAGCCACTGAACATTGAAGAGATCATCGTTACCATAATTATTACCATCTCGTCTGTGTTCATGATGAGTGCTATTGCTAGCCGATGCGCTTTGGTGCAAATAATCGATAATTATTCACTAAATTATTACCGAAACAAGATCGACGAGGTCAAGACGCACTTGACAAATTTACGCCTATCTCCGTATATTCTGCACAAATTGGTAAGGTACTACGAGTTCATTTGGAGGATCCAGAGAGGAAATCAATTCCCTATGCTGATTAATGAAACAGGAAGGTATCTGCGTGAAGATATCAGAATAGATCTATACAGTGAATTGATACTTCAAAATGCCATATTCAAAAATGCTCATAAAGACTTTATACGACAAATGTTGGTGAATTTGAAACGGTTTGCATATCCCAGATCAATGGTTATCGTGCATCAACATGAAGTGAATGGCAGCATGTATTTTATACAAAGCGGAAACGTTGCGATTGTCGATGTCAGTACGAATGGCGATATGAAGAAAGTTGGTTTTTTAAAAGCAGGTCAGAGTTTTGGCGAGGTTCAAGGATTGACTATCGCGCCATTTCAATTCACCTACGTTGCAGAAACCTTAGTGATAGTTATGTCTTTAAGAAAGAAGAGCTGGGCATATTTGCTAGAGTTTTTTCCAGCAACGATGAATAACATCCAGCAGAATTTGAGCGAACATTTTGGTGTTACAGACAAGATATAAGTCTAAATAAACCATTAATGCTCAACAACTGTGTATTACAGCACTAAATCATAATTTACGAAATTATACTACTAAATTAGATCTACATTACAGTAAGTAATCAGTAAATAGTTGAAGTAATTACACGTTGTTTTTATCTTAGTTATTTAATCTCTAAATTCAGTTGTGTAAATTTTTGTATTTGGAAGCTTTTAATTCATATCGTGTATTGTCACTTTCTTTTTAGAACTTTTATTTAAGGAAGTTGTATGAATCATTACTTTAAATATCAGAAACCGTCATATTAGAACTCTAGAGTTCCTCTACAAGATGCATACCCCTCCGGCCTTTTTGGTGTTTAGTCGGCGAACTTCATGTCGTAGGACAACCGTTCTTTCCCCAAATTGTTGGTATTTTTATTCTTTATAATTTTCATATATAACTTGTGGATTTAACCCTTGGGAAACCTAAAGTAAAGTCCTTTTTGTGTTTTTTGCTCGGCTAAGTTTGTGGTTTTATGGTTTTTGCAGGCGAACGCGATGTCGTAGGGCAACCGTTCTTGAACTAAATTGTAGGTACAGTAGAATCTTGATAACTCGAATGTCAAGGGAAACCAAAAAAAATTCGAGATAGCAAGTTTTCGACTTAACAAGAATTTCGAGATATGAAGAGTTAACTCATCAAATTTCGACATACAAAGGCAGAATTTCATAGAACATTTATTTATTTTATGAACTTCGACTTACTGAGGTAGGAATTTGCAGTTCGAGGTACTGAGTATTAAAATGTACGAGTATTGCCTCACAGGGAAATAACTTATTGTTCGAGTTACTGAGTCTAAAAAATTCGAGTTACTGCGTCGTTCGGGGTTCGGCGGAAGGGAATAGCATATCTTTTCGATTTACTGAGGATTACGACTTAACAAGGTTCGAGTTATCAAGATTCTACTGTATTAATATTCTTTATAATTTTCATATAAAACTTTTTGGTTTAAACCTTGAGAAACCTAGAAAAATGCCCTTTTTGTGTTTTCCGGTGTGCTAATTTTGTAGTTTTTGATGTTTCAGCGGTCGAACGCCATGTCGTAGCACAACCGTTTTCACCAAATTGTAAGCATTAAAATTCTTTATTATTATTATATAACAGGGTCTAACTTTTTTACATACATTTTTTGGGCGAATTTGTTAAAAAAAATTTCGATCGAAAAACAGGGTCGAAATTTTTGTACTTAATATTTTTCGGTCCAATTTTTTTGTAAAAAATATTTCGATCGAATTTTTTTGTAAACATTTTTTCTGTCGAATTTTTTGGTTAAAAGTTTTTTGGTCGAATTTTTTTATTAAACAAGAACAAAAATACGAAACACGAATGCGTTTTTCTCTAAAATTGTAAATATTAGACCATATTTAATGAATGTTAATGTTATCAAAAAAAGTTACCAAAATAATCGATGTAGCATTAAATTATCTATTAGGTTTACTATTTATAATTTAATCGAAATTTATAGTTCCATGCATAGTGCGAGTACAGTTCTATTCATGTTCTGCACTGCCACACTGAAAGTGTCAGTGTTTACAAACAAACATGTTTTCTTATCTCGTGCAATTGTGCGATCGCCACGCGGTTGGCCTGTGTACTACGTTAGTCTCATTTTTGTCGTCAGGTGATCTGCACGCATATTTTCTTCATTATTCTTGAGTTGCTAAATGCTTTTTCGATTGTGCGCGATGGATGTGCAGGGTTCGTACCACGCGGATTGTAGGTACATACTCAGAGGTTTGTATTATACGCGTATTATTTCATCGGTTCTACAATGTGCATAATTAAGGTCCATACAACTTATTGTATTGAACTTCTTTATCATTTTCATTAATAACTTTAGCGAATAGCTTGTTAATTAGTAGCAAAAATTGAATTTTTGTGCTTCAAAAGACTAATTTTGGCTGGTTTTAGGGGTTTTGCACATGAACCTGACATCGTAGGAGAACCATTATTTTATCAGATTGTAGGTATTGAATTTCTTTATTATTTTCACAAATAACTCTAGTGATTAGTTTGATAATAAGCAACAAAAATGGCATTTTTGTGTTTCGAAAGACTAATTTTGGCTGGTTTTAGGGGTTTTGCACCTGAACCTAACATCGTAGGAGAACCATTCTTTTATCAGAATGTAAGTATTGAATTTCTTTATCATTTTCAATAATAACTTTAGTGATTTGCTAATTAATTAGCAACAAAAATTGCGTTTTTATGTGTCCAAGGACTAATTTTTGCTTGTTTTCGGGGTAAACACCTGAATGCGGCTGCCCCTTAATATCAGCGGGGTTCCTAAAGATGTAGAATTTAATTCTTGGTCGCGTTGTATTCTATTGTCGTAGGAAACGAACCTGTAAAACGTGAATTGATACACAAATTATACGTTTTGTACATTGTTATGTCGGTAACCTTTAACTCTTGTGTTACATCCAGTCATTTTGAATCGTTTTCATGATTATATATAACATGGATAGTTTTTCTTTATCCGTCGTTCAAGTAACGCATATAGAAATGGCAAAATGAGGTGAGCTAGAGCAAGACGGAAATATTATAAAATTTTATGCACGAGTTTCCATAAACGTTTATGAAGATGCCCTCTGGGCGAAACATGTCAACTCAAATACAAATTGTAAAATCCAAAAATCACGTAAAATTATAATAAATAAATATTTCAAATATAAAAATGGATTACGTATTCGCCAAAGAAAGTAATAAATTTATAAAATTTTATGTTCTATCCATGTTATCTATATGATGTTTTCATGGAGTTTTCGACGCTTTGTTTCTGCTTTCAGTTCGACCTTGGCTTGCGCAGCATACTGTGCGCTGCCATTTGAGCAAGGGCGTGCCGGTTGTCGGCTTCAAGTTTCGTCAGTCGGTGGTGCGCAGCGGCATATTATTCTTTTGCAAAATAATTTAATAGGGTAAAAGATCTAAAAACGCGACTGAAACTGCTAAAAATTGCAATTTTTCAATTTTTCACGTTTTATTTCAATTGCGAATATCTCGTAAACTAAAAGAGATAGAAAGTCTTAATCTACGGACAATTCTATATAAAATAATACGTATTATGTTGCAGTATTGTAAAGTATTCCGAGGTGGGCTAGAATACACGCATATGAATGAATGTAAACAAGTTTTTTTATTGCTTTCAGCGTGCGTATCTCAACAGCGATAGTGACCTCGTGCAGTTGCTGTCGACTGTGTGCAACTCAAGGCATACGCAGTTCCATTTTGGTTCTCGACTGAATCGCGCGTTTTCATTGCGACTACTTTTTGTTCTTCAAATCATAATTAGATAAAGTTCGGAATGTTCAATTAACAATTGACGGCATTTACTGAAATCGGATGTGAATGTGGTTTTGCTAGTGAGATAGCATGCGTTGAATGTTCATCAATCGCGTGTGATGTTCCGTCGGCCGTCGGTGATTGTTTTTCGCTTGTGGAATTACATTGCACTCGTGTTAACCTATGTGTAAATAACCCGCGTGTCCAGACAGACTTAATAATAACTTGGATTTATGTAACAACGTTGGTGCCTGTTGAAGAAGTTTAGGAACACTTGCGCCAAGAGATGCGCATATTACAAGGCAAGTTTTACTTTCAAGAGATTTAAGAGCTGCCTATGATTTTCGATTAAAAAAAAATGTATGTAGTTTTTAATGTTGCTAATAAAACATAATGTAATATTATATACTTCTTCATATTTCTTTTTGGTTTCCCCTTTCCCGTTTGAAGGATTGACGGCTTGAATCATATTCCATATAAATCTTAAGTGCGTCGAGCGTGTACAATATATAGCTGTTGTTTGTGTTGTGTTGATGTTTTTAAAAAGTTGAATAAAGTAGAAACATAAATAGAAGAATCAAATATCAATGATGTAAACACTCGGTGGTCGAGTGGAGACGTGCACCTGCTGGCATGCTAGCAGACACGGATCGAATCTCAGGTATAAAAGGCATTTTTCTCAAATATAAAAATAACAGGTGTAATTTGGGTGGCATATGTAAACTCAAATAAAATATAAGAGAAATTGCAATACAAGTGAAGGCAATAAGAGAAGTAAGAAAGTAAGTGGAGAAACGGAGAACAACGAGAAATAGGAGAAATAGAAGAAGGAATAGCCAGAGAAGAGTAGAAGACAGAAGGAAGAGAACAGAGTAGAGAAGAGGAGGAGATAGAAGAAAGAGCAACAGGAGTGGATCAGATTTTGAAATTTTTGGCCACGTGTCGTTATAAGACAGTCACGGGCCCACTGCTTCGATGTGTCCATTGCTCCCGGCCCAACCTACAGCTACGAAGTCTCTGCGCTTCATCCCCGAAATACTCAGGCATATCAACAATTTTAATGGTGGGGGATCACCCCCAGAGAGAGGGAACTCCTTATAAGGACAATCCTTACAAGATCTTGTAAAAATAGTTCTAAGTTTTAAATCGCCTCAAGAGAGGGGACACTTAAAAATTTTCTTACAAGTTCTGACCTGTAGCTGAAATGAAAGAAGGAGCATACAAATCACACAGGATACCTTAACAATTTTTATAGTGGGGATCATCTCCTGAGAGAGGGAACTCTCTTAGAGACTTGGGCCTGTAATGATAGAAGGGGTACACAAATCAAAGAAGTCAATATATCTTACTATTTATTTATTGACAATAGAATACAAGTTTATATTTTACAAGTCAACAGAATTTATGTCGCCATATTGAAACAGGACTCTAACGGGCTAAAGAAATTATCAAATAGCTCATTTTCTAGACGATTGAAAATGGAAACAAATATACAGGGTGTTACAAATGATAAATTTAATGTGAAAACATAAAAACATTTTTACACTACAAATATGATTCGTTCTTCACCCGAGGCTCCTGGAAAACTAATATACAGGGTGTTCCAGAAAGAAAATTCAAAGTGCAAAGGGGAAAATACTAAAAACATCAGCTAAAGCAAAATTTTCAAGGACACAAAGGAAAACATATATACAGGGTGATCTAGAAAGAAAATTCCATTTTCAAAACGGAGAACACTCAAAACTCATAACTAAAGGTGATTTTCTACGTACGTGCTGTTAGTAAAACTAACAGGGTATTACAGAAAAAAATCAGAAACTACAAAAGGAGTCAATAATCACAATATGACACAATAAGAGGAAAATTTACAAATCAACAACAATATTTTAATATAAAATCAGAAAAACCGAAACCCGAAAAACATCAGAAAATTGAGCAATAGGGTGCTACAAAAATAAAACACTTACATTTTAATATTATATTAAACTTGGAAAAACAATCGTTGGAAAACAAGTTGAAAACTAACGACATACTCAACAAGTAAGATTAATTCATAAATATTTTTCATATTTTTAAATATTTATATAATGTGTGTATGTGTTTGTAGAAAATCTGAAACAAAATTTTTGGAACTTGAGCACAGCCTGCATGAAGTACAATTATCTCGAAGCGCTTGTCGGAAGCAGCTTCACAAGGCAATGAATTTCGCCAAGGATCTGGTCAATGAACAAGAGACGCTTCTGAAAGCACTCAATCAGCGGCACATGGAAAACAAAGCTGTGAAACGTTTCGGCACCGATATTGCTAGCCGGATGGATGTACTGCGCAATCAATTGAAGGTATGTGAACGCGGAATGTATGTTCGTTTGTTGTGTTTATACTTTTAATGTGTTTTTTATCAGTACAAATCAACCGTAATTTATGAATATTGACTTGGTCTTATAAAGAAAACATAAATATTTGTTCAAGTAAAAGGCGATAACTAAACAAAACATAGGAAACAAGCACAACGACTATATGCAACCAAACAAACAAACACAATAATTAATTGTAAATTTTAATCGAAGCAGTTTATTTTGCAATTTTTACAATATTTAACCATTGTTAATAATTTCAGGCAGTTCAGAAAGACGCCTGGCAAGAATTGTCGACAGTGGAAGAGCGCATACAAGAACAGGATTCGATTATTTTGTCGATGAAAGAAGAACACGAACAGGAAATCGAAAAACTTAAAAATCTAATTAAAGAAAAAGGATGAATATAAAATTACTAATCTATACTCCCACCATCGCAATCACTTCCAAGGGCTTCATTAAATTCATAAAATAGGTTTATTTAATTTTTACTGTTTCTCTGTTATGTACAAAAATATCATTCGAATATTAAATAAAATATGAATTTAAATAAGGATTTATAGGCATCCTTCTTTATTGCATTTGTTAAAATTGTGTTAGCACAGGATAATGATATTGATATGTGTGTAGAAGTGTGTGTGTGAAGTAGAAACAATAGCGTAGAAATCACGTGGCTAAACGTTGTTAAAAGCCTTCGTTTTGCCACTTGATACTTGATACACTATTAAGTGTTAATAATTTTTTGAATTTTACGTTGGGCAAAAGTAGGTGAAACGGAAACAAAAATAAATGAGTAGGCAGCTACCACCACCACAACTACAACTGCCGGAACCAATCCTTGTGATTACGGATGGCGTCAAAAATTAAATAATAATATATTTTTATAGTTTATAATTTCTCAAATTTTATTGCAGAGTGCAGAGGCGTCATGTAGGCGAGATGGAAACAAAGGTAAATGAGTAGGTTGCGCTTTTATTGTTAATAACCAATAAAATATTTATGTATAAATATATAAACACTAAATTTTGCGTTTTTGTTACATTTTAATTTTTTTGTGAATCGGTAGATTGTCCGTTTTAAAAAGTTAAAGCAAGACGCATAATTTAGGCAAACATGATGATATCAGGTAAACACATAAAATTTACGCATTTAAATAATCAATAACTAATTGTGGTCCATAAATCCATTAATAAATTATGATTATAAGAAGTATAACTTTTTGTCATTTTTTCGTTCTTAGAGCGGAGGCGCTTTTTCATAATGGCGCTGGTGTGGAACTGTGTTTTGGTATGGTTTCAATCGAACGTGTTGGCAATGGTGCACCATGAATGTAACTACAAGTATTTTATTAAATTTGGAGGCCGACATATTTTGAAAACCCCTGCCTTTAATCAGAGCATGCATTATCCTCGGCATAAAGTTTGCAAATGGTCCTACAGTAGTCTACCGGGTACCTTTTTTTGAGGTCACTTGCAATGCAATTGATAAGCCTAGATCAAAATACAGCAACAGTCAATGTCTGTATGATCGTCTTGTGGTGAGTCCGACTGGAGAGATTCAAAATTCTCAGACGGGCGAACCTATTGTGCACAAACTCGACAACCAATTAAACTACAATCGGTACTCGTACTCGTATATTCGCGTATTATGAGATATTACTTCCTTGGGTTGCAAAATGTGTATGTATTATAATTATAATTTTATTTACATGTTTGGTCCCTAACCCACGTTGGCCTGGTGGTCGCTATCGATGCATTATCACTACCAAAGCATTCCCAATTGCCAGACGTGATACCAATCCCGTTTGTGATTGCGGAATGATTCAACTAGTAAATATAATCTATTTTTTTTTAAGTTTTCAACTTAATAAATTTTTCTTTGTACAGAGGCGCATTGTGGGTGGAACGGAGACAGAGATAAATGAGTATGTTTTCATGGCATCCCTGATTGATTTGGTAATAGATGTCCACTGGTGTGGCGCATCTATTATTTCCACTCGCTATGCTCTTACTGCCGCTCATTGTATAACACGGCGAAAGAATTCCTTATCACTTTTGGTTGGTGACCATAACCTAAAAGGTACAATAAAAATGAATTGCAAAATCTGTTGGTAAGCGCATAACTCAACAACGCCTAGATCAATTTGGCTAATTCTTTTTTGAAATGTTTGTTAATGTCCAAGGATGGTTTAACGGCAAAAAAATTTGAATAATTGCTGGGAAAACGCTGAAAACAGCCCTTTTCTATAGAATAAAAGTTGGCATTGTGATTCACTCATAGTTATAGTTAAATAGTTGAATCCGAGATGGCGCACTAAAGTGCATTAAATTGCGAATCTTATTGATAGAATAGACATAGTACTAGAACAAGGCAGTAAAAACGAATTACATTTTTATTAAACACTACCGGAACGAAGTCGCGGGCAAAAGCAAGTATGAACTAATTGCAATTTGATACTTACAGAGGATTTTGAAACCGATACAGCTAAACTGCATTCATTGGAAGATTTTATTGTGCATCCTAATTATGGTCAATGGTATTCAGGAAATGACATTGCAATCGTAAAAACAACTACTCCTATTGAGTTTAATATCAATGTAGGTCCCATTTGTCTGCCATATCGTTATACCGATAAGGATTTTTCTGGAGAAGTGGTGACTGCTATGGGTAAAACTGTTTTTATTTGATTTAACATAAATAAATATGGTTAAATTTGGTGATGTTTTTTTAGGATGGGGACGCTACCTTGCCGGTGGTCCAACTTCTGACGTTCTGAGAGCGGTCAACCTTACTATTGTTACCCAACAAAGATGTCAGGAGTATTATTCACAAAAACATAACTTAACCATCGCCATTCCACAAATATGCAGCTTCGAAACGGGCAAGGACGCTTGTAATTTTGATTCGGGTGGCCCGCTTGTATGGTTTGACACCACCAATACCAACCGATACCAACTCCTCGGCATTATTTCTTATGCGCCGGGTTGCGCCACGGATGCACCGGCTGTAAACACAAGAGTTACTAGCTATGTTTCTTGGATTCTAAATAAGACACCAGGTATGATTTAAAAACAGAAATTTTTTCAAATTTTGATTTTTTCTTTATTTCAGACGCGTCCTATTGCTTTCTATAAACTGCTGTAGTTGCATTAAAATATTGAGTGTATATTTGAATCACAAATATATCTTACATCATATTATTTCCATTTAAACAGTTAACTACATAATATCTGATAATTAATCATTAACGTAGATGATTTACTTAAATATTCGTTACCTTTATGAATATATTTCAAGCGTAGAATAAGATAAAGTCAATGTAAATTGATAATAACTACTATTGGGGTAGTGACAGAATGCAAATCACATAAGATAAGGTAGTTTATGATAAAGTAGTAAATTCATTCACATATTCTTTACATTTATTATTTTAACTGGGTATTCTAGTCTAGAGGTTTCAAAAAATCGATTTTTTTGATATCTTCAAATTTTGCCTAACATTGCAAGCGCCAAATAAGATAAAGTAAACATGTGTTGATAAAATCCGCTGCGATGGCCCATGTTTACAAAACATTGCAAAAACGATAAGATCGCGAGAATATTTTTAGTTATAACGGACATTCTAGCGACATCTCGGGGAGATTTTAAGAGTTCAGTTTGAAATCGTCTGCTAGTGTTATTGAATCGGGCATTTGATAAGTGATAGTGCATAGAATCGAATGGCAAAGTAACTGTGTACCTGTAATCGCTCGCAAAGACACGTATTTCAATCAGCAGCATTATTACATTAAACACCAGAAAATATACATACATACTATATAGTAATGGATTATATATTACATAATATCTGTTGATAAATTATAAAAAATGTATTATTTAAATATGTTTTACCTTTATAATTTAATTTCAAGCGTAAAATGTGTTAAAGTCAATGTAAATTGATAAAATGTGCTGCTGCAATAACCAATGTGTTTGTTTTCAATACTTTACAACAACGATATGATAAAAACACAAGAAGATTTTTAGGCGAAAAGGACATCTTAGCGACATCGCAGAATGATCTTAAAAGTATAATTTGAATTCTTTATTTATAGAATCGTTCATGGTTGTGATGTGTGAGTGAATGTACAGAATAAAAGAAACTATAAAAATTCTATTATGCTGTTTATAGATGAATGAACTAATTTACTGAATGTGAGTTTTTATTGCCACATTATAGTTTAAAGGGCACTCCATACTATCCTTATTTTTCGATCGTCCTAAACCCTTAGAAAGTGCCTTAAAATGAATTATTAACAATCACAAAAATTACCGTTCTTGCAGTTTCTCAGCCTCCAACTTTGACTGAAGATCTACGGCCCCTGGCTCAATCCCCGATTTCAGCACGTTGCTTTTGTTAGAGATTTATCGTAATACTGGAAAATTTCGTTTTTATTGTGTTCTGCAAAATAACGCCCAGTATCTCCCGAATTATATGACTTTTTTTTATAGTATATAGACTATATAGCGTACATACTTAGAAACATTTTCATCTTTCCAAAAATGACGGAAGTTTGGCCGTCACGGACTCTTACTCTATTAATTTGATACTTCGGAGTTTGTTTTAAATATGAAGTATACTGGGTTGCCTATAATAAGTAGCTTATTTAAAAACTAGCTGTAACATACCTAAACGCGGAGGAAAACTCAAACTTTATTATTAGATACTTAGAAAAACTTTAATACAGGATAACGACTTAGGATAACTACGTACTTATAATGTAAATATAATTAATATTATTATAGACATTTGTATCAAAAATATAAAAATTACATGAAACCTATTTAAAAGCAGGAGCCGAAATTACTACGCTGAAAGAGAAGAATAAATCGTTGATTGAGGCTCATGATGATTTTAAAAATGAACGTTCACAGTTTATTCCAGTGTCAGTGCATACGTCAAGTGTTAATGAGTGTAAAAAGTAAGTTTTTAGGTTAGATATTATTTTAGGTTAAAATGAGGTTAAGTGTCTTTTGATTTGTAGGTGGTATGAAGAGTTAAAGCAGCAATATGAGACCGAAAAAATAAAATTAGAGAAATTTATCGATGAATTAAAAGTACAAATTAAAGAATTATCAGCTAAAGTGGAAATATTAAACTTGGAAAAACAATCGTTGGAAAACAAGTTGAAAACTAACGACAAACTCAACAAGTAAAATTAATTCATAAATATTTTTCATATTTTTAAATATTTATAATGTGTGTATGTGTTTGTAGAATATCTGATGCGATAACTTTCATATTGCAAATTATATTAAATTCAACAAAACATAGGAAACTAGCACAACGACTATATGCAACCAAACTAACAAAAACAAGAATTAATTGTAAATTTTAATCGAAGCAGTTTATTTTGCAATTTTTACAATATTTAACCATTGTTATTAATTTCAGGCAGTTCAGAAAGGCGCCTGGCAAGAATTGTCGACAGTGGAAGAGCGCATACAAGAACAGGATTCGATTATTTTGTCGATGAAAGAAGAACACGAACAGGAAATCGAAAAACTTAAAAATCTAATTAAAGAAAAAGGATGAATATAAAATTACTAATCTATACTCCCACCATCGCAATCACTTCCAAGGGCTTCATTAAATTCATAAAATAAGTTTATTTAATTTTTACTATTTCTCTGTTATGTACAAAAAAATCATTCGAATATTAAATAAAATATGAATTTAAATAAGGATTTATAGGCATCCTTCTTTATTGCATTTGTTAAAATTGTGTTAGCACAGGATAATGATATTGATATGTGTGTAGAAGTGTGTGTGTGAAGTAGAAACAATAGCGTAGAAATCACGTGGCTAAACGTTGTTAAAAGCCTTCGTTTTGCCACTTGATACTTGATACACTATTAAGTGTTAATAATTTTTTGAATTTTACGTTGGGCAAAAGTAGGTGAAACGGAAACAAAAATAAATGAGTAGGCAGCTACCACCACCACAACTACAACTGCCGGAACCAATCCTTGTGATTACGGATGGCGTCAAAAATTAAATAATAATATATTTTTATAGTTTATAATTTCTCAAATTTTATTGCAGAGTGCAGAGGCGTCATGTAGGCGAGATGGAAACAAAGGTAAATGAGTAGGTTGCGCTTTTATTGTTTTAACCAATAAAATATTTATGTATAAATATATAAACACTAAATTTTGCGTTTTTGTTACATTTTAATTTTTTTGTGAATCGGTAGATTGTCCGTTTTAAAAAGTTAAAGCAAGACGCATAATTTAGGCAAACATGATGATATCAGGTAAACACATAAAATTTACGCATTTAAATAATCAATAACTAGTTGTGGTCCATAAATACATTAATAAATTATGATTATAAGAAGTATAACTTTTTGTCATTTTTTCGTTCTTAGAGCGGAGGCGCTTTTTCATAATGGCGCTGGTGTGGAACTGTGTTTTGGTATGGTTTCAATCGAACGTGTTGGCAATGGTGCACCATGAATGTAACTACAAGTATTTTATTAAATTTGGAGGCCGACATATTTTGAAAACCCCTGCCTTTAATCAGAGCATGCATTATCCTCGGCATAAAGTTTGCAAATGGGCCTACAGTAGTCTACCGGGTACCATTTTTGAGGTCACTTGCAATGCAATTGATAAGCCTAGATCTAAATACAGCAACAGTCAATGTCAGTATGATCGTCTTGTGGTGAGTCCGACTGGAGATTCAAAATTCTCAGACGGGCGAACCTATTGTGGCCAAACTCGACAACCAATTAAACTACAATCGGTTTCAAATGCGCTTAAAATCGGTACTCGTACTCGTATATTCGCGTATTATGAGATATTACTTCCTTGGGTTGCAAAATGTGTATGTATTATAATTATAATTTTATTTACATGTTTGGTCCCTAACCCACGTTGGCCTGGTGGTCGCTATCGATGCATTATCACTACCAAAGCATTCCCAATTGCCAGACGTGATACCAATCCCGATTGTGATTGCGGAAGAATTCAACTAGTAAATTAGAATATAATATATTTTTTAACCTTTTTAATTTAATAAATTTTTCTTTGTACAGAGGCGCATTGTGGGTGGAACAGAAACAAAGGTAAATGAATATGTTTTCATGGCAGCCATGATTGATATGGATAGAAAAATCCTCTGGTGTGGAGCCACAATTATTTCCACTCGCTATGCAGTTACGGCCGCTCATTGTATCGTACAGAGGGCTTCTACTAATTATGGACTTTTGGTTGGTGATCATAGCTTATCACGTAAGAAAATTTATTTACTTGTATTTTGTCCAAATATACGCTAATTATAAATTGTTACTGAAGAGGGTCAAGAAACACAATCAGCTAAACTGCATTTAATAGAAGATTTCAATGTGCATGAAAGTTATAACTCAAGGACTCAAGAAAATGACATTGCAATCATACGAACAACTACGGCTATTGAGTTTAACATGAATGTTGGACCTATTTGTCTGCCGTATCGTTATACCAATGTGGATTTTTCTGGAGCAGTGGTGACTGCTTTGGGTAAAAATATTTTAATTTTATTTATTTCTTAATATAAATAAATATGGTTAAATTTGTTGATAATTTTTAGGCTGGGGAAGCGTATACTATACAGGTCCAACTTCTGACACTCTGCAGGCGGTCAACCTTACTATCGTCAACAAACAGAGATGTCAGAGTGCGTACACTGAACCGAACCAAATCATCTTCAATACACAAATATGCAGCTACCAAACGGGCAAGGACTCTTGTACTTTTGATTCGGGCGGTCCGCTTGCATGGTTCGACAACTTCAATACCTTCCGATTCCAACTCCTCGGCGTTATTTCTTATGGCCAGGCTTGCGCCACGGATGCACCGGCTGTAAACACAAGAGTTACTAACTATGTTTCTTGGATTCTAAATGAGACACCAGGTATGATTTAAAAACAGTAATATTCTCAAATTTTGATTTTTTCTTTATTTCAGAAGCGACCTATTGCTTTCCATAAACTGCTGTAGTTGCATTAAAATATTGAGTGCATATTTGAATTACAAATATATCTTATATCATATTATTTCCATTTAAACAGTTAACTACATAATATCTGATAATTAATCATAAACGTAGATGATTTACTTAAATATTCTTTACCTTTATGAATTTATTTCAAGCGTAGAATAAGCAAAAGTCAATGTAAATTGATAATAACTACTATTGGGATAGTAACAGAATGCAAATCACATAAGATAAGGTAGTTTATGATAAAGTAGTAGATTTATTCACATATTCTTTACATTTATTACTTTAAATAAATTTTGCCTAACATTTCAAGCGCGAAATGAGATAAAGTGGACGTGCGTTGATAAAATCCGCTGCGATGGCCCATGTGTACAAAACATTACAACAACGATATGATCGCGGGAATATTTTTAGTTTTAACGGACATTCTAGCGACATCTCGGGGAGATTTTAATAGTTTAGTTTGAAATCGTATGCTAGTGTTATTGAATCGGGCATTTGATAAGTGATAGTGCATAGAATCGAATGGCAAAGCAACTGGGTACCTGTAATCGCTCGCAAGGATAAAATGCGTTGCTGCGATAACCAATATATACGCAAGAAGATTTTTAGTCGAAAAGGACATCTTAACGACATCTCGGAATGACCTTAAAAGTATAATTTGAATTCGACTCTTTGTTTATAGAATCGTTCATGGTTGTGATGTGTGAGTGAATGTACAGAATAAAAGAAACTATAAAAATTCTATTATGCTGTTTATAGATGAATGAACTAATTTACTGAATGTGAGTTTTTATTGCCACATTATAGTTTAAAGGGCACTCCACACTATCCTTATTTTTCGATCGTCCTAAACCCTTAGAAAGTGCCTTAAAATGTATTATTAACAATCACAAAAATTACCGTTCTTGCAGTTTCTCAGCCTCCAACTTTGACTGAAGATCTACGGGCCCCTGGCTCAATCCCCGATTTCGGCACGTTGCTTTTGTTAGAGATTTATCGTAATACTGGAAAATTTCGTTTTTATTGTGTTCTGCAAAATAACGCCCAGTATCTCCCGAATTATATGACTTTTTTTTATAGTATATAGCAGGGCTGGCCAATCCCAGGCCCGCGGGCCACAAGGTGGCCCGCCAGGACATTTGAATTTGCCCGCCGCACAAACCAAAGTTGGAACTTTTGTATATGTATAATATTTTATGTATGAATGGCCATAGTCTGTGGCCCGGTGCTGCCGCATTCTAAAAAAATTGGCCCTCCAGGAAAATCCATTGGCCAGCCTTGGTATATAGGGTACATACTTAGAAACATTTTCATCTTTCCAAAAATGACGGAAGTTTGGCCGTCACGGACTCTTACTCTATTAATTTGATACCAACGAAAGACTAATTTTTGTTTGTTTTAGGGGTTTTGCACATGAACCTGACATTGTAGGGGAACCATTCTTTCATCAGATTGTAGGTATTGAATTTCTTTATCATTTTTATAAATAACTTTATTGATTAGTTTGATAATTAACAGCCAAATTGCATTTTTGTGTTTCGAAAGACTAATTTTTGCTTGTTTTATGGGTTTTGCACATGAACCTGACATTGTAGAGGAACCATTCTTTCATCAGATTGTAGGTATTGAATTTCTTTATCATTTTTATAAATAACTTTATTGATTAGTTTGGTAATTAGCAGCAAAATTGCATTTTTGTGCTTTGAAAGACTAATTTTTGTTTGTTTTAGGGGTTTTGCACATGAACCTGACATTGTAGGGGAACCATTCTTTCATCAGATTGTAGGTATTGAATTTCTTTATCATTTTCATTAATAACTTTATTGATTAGTTTGGTAATTAGCAGCAAAATTGCATTTTTGTGCTTTGAAAGACTAATTTTTGTTTGTTTTAGGGGTTTTGCACATGAACCTGACATTGTAGGGGAACCATTCTTTCATCAGATTGTAGGTATTGAATTTCTTTATCATTTTCATTAATAACTTTATTGATTAGTTTGATAATTAGCAGCAAAAATTGCATTTTTGTGTTTCGAAAGACTAATTTTTGTTTGTTTTAGGGGTTTTGCACATGAACCTGACATTGTAGGGGAACCATTCTTTCATCAGATTGTAGGTATTGAATTTCTTTATCATTTTCATAAATAACTTTATTGATTAGTTTGATAATTAGCAGCAAAAATTGCATTTTTGTGTTTCGAAAGACTAATTTTTGTTTGTTTTAGGGGTTTTGCACATGAACCTGACATTGTAGGGGAACCATTCTTTCATCTGATTGTAGGTATTGAATTTCTTTATCATTTTTATAAATAACTTTATTGATTAGTTTGATAATTAGCAGCCAAATTGCATTTTTGTGTTTCGAAAGACTAATTTTTGCTTGTTTTAGGGGTTTTGCACATGAACCTGACATTGTAGAGGAACCATTCTTTCATCAGATTGTAGGTATTGAATTTCTTTATCATTTTCATAAATAACTTTATTGATTAGTTTGATAATTAGCAGCAAAAATTACATTTTTGTGTTTCGAAAGACTAATTTTTGTTTGTTTTAGGGGTTTTGCACATGAACCTGATATTATAGGAGAACCATTCTTTCATCAGATTGTAGGTATTGAATTTCTTTATCATTTTCATAAATAACTTTATTGATTAGTTTGATAATTAGCAGCAAAAATTGCATTTTTGTCTTTCAAAAGAATAATTTTGGCTTGTTTTATGGGTTTTGCACATGAACCTGATATTATAGGAGAACCATTCTTTCGTCACATTGTAGGTATTGAATTTCTTTATCATTTTCATAAACAACTTTACTGATTAGTTTGATAATTAGCAGCAAAAATTGCATTTTTGTCTTTCAAAAGAATAATTTTGGCTTGTTTTATGGGTTTTGCACATGAACCTGATATTATAGGAGAACCATTCTTTCATCAGATTGTAGGTATTGAATTTCTTTATCATTTTTATAAATAACTTTATTGATTAGTTTGGTAATTAGTAGCAAAATTGCATTTTTGTGCTTTGAAAGACTAATTTTTGTTTGTTTTAGGGGTTTTGCACATGAACCTGACATTGTAGAGGAACCATTCTTTCATCAGATTGTAGGTATTGAATTTCTTTATCATTTTCATAAATAACTTTACTGATTAGTTTGATAATTAGCAGCAAAAATTGCATTTTTGTGTTTCGAAAGACTAATTTTTGCTTGTTTTATGGGTTTTGCACATGAACCTGACATTGTAGGGGAACCATTCTTTCATCAGATTGTAGGTATTGAATTTCTTTATCATTTTCATAAATAACTTTATTGATTAGTTTGATAATTAGCAGCAAAAATTGCATTTTTGTCTTTCAAAAGAATAATTTTGGCTTGTTTTATGGGTTTTGCACATGAACCTGATATTATAATGTGAAAACAGAAAAACATTTTAACACTATAAATATCATTCGTTATTCACCCGAGGCGTGTTCCAGAAAGAAAATTCCATGTTCAAAACGGAGAACACTCAAAACTCACAAATAAAGGTGATTTTCTACGTACGTGCTGTTAGGAAAACTAGTATACTGGGTGTTACAGAAAAAATTCAGAAACTTCAAAGGGAGTCAATATTCAGAGTATGAAGAGGAACATTTACAAATTAACAACAATATTTTAATAAAAATTGAGCAATAGTAATTTACAAAATTAATATCCCTCAAATAGAATAATCATTTTAAGTTAAATCGCGCAAAAATTTTAATTATCTACCTGCCTGTGCATTGATGAGATTTTCTACCCTGTAATATATTCCATCAACTGAAAACTCGCGCAGGGATTAACGGACACCTATTTCTCACTTAGGAAGATTCTAACCTACATAAATCTTTAAACAAAACAGGCACACATGCCCATTGTGATTATTTTTCCGATGGCCGAAAGAATACACGACGATTAATCCAATTAAAACCTCAAAACGCGTGGCGATTAGAGAGGCACGCTCGCGGACCACGCGGTGAAACAACAGCCGTGTGCGCTGCGCGGAGCCGGGTACAAGGCAAGTGTGCAGCGATATCACGTGTCAGTCCAACAAAAAAAAAAGTTTATACACAAACTTAGTGATAAACGCATAGTTAAGAAGACGAAACTAAAAATTCACAATGTTGAAATACATCGCTTTTTCACATCAGGTTTGAAATCCACATGTGACTGTTTAATTTGTCGAATGTTAATAGAATATAGTATTTATGTTACCCACTTTCTTACGTATTCCCAGGTAAAATATTCCACACGGGTCACGAAAGATCTTGATTTAAATTAAGAATTAAATGAATGCACACAACAAAACCATTAAGAATTTTAGGCGACGTCCAATATAACTGGAGTTACAGAATTTTCTTGCAATAAATTTCAATACAGAGAGATTCAGAATTAAATTCTGCAACGGAGCAAATTATTGCGAAGTTACTATGATTCCGCGTTCGCGTGTTATACTAATAAAACAACAATTCCTAGCGCACCGAGTATAACGGCGCACACACATAACATTCAATATAACTCGCGTTACGGAATTTTTTCCAATGAATTTCAATACGCGGAGATACAGAATTAAATTCTGCAACGGGGATAATTATTTCGAAACTACTGCAGGTAGTGGGATCAAATTGGTAATTGCTCGCTTAAATGCCTTACCATTAGGTCCTTGAAGAGTGACTACTCGTACATTTCCGTCTTCTCCTGGATGAACCTCCTTGATCTTTGCTAATGGCCACCGTGCAGGATTGATATCCTTTTCCTTCATTATTACAACTGCTTCCTTTTTCAGGTTGTCTGCAGACTCCTGCCATTTATATTGATGTTGTAATCGACTTAAGTACTCGGAGGACCAGGACTTCCAAAATCGTTTCTTGATTGTTTGTAATTGCTGCCATCGTTCTCCCAGACAAAAAAGTTTATACACAAACTTAGTGATAAACGCATAGTTAAGAAGACGAAACTAAAAATTCACAATGTTGAAATACATCGCTTTTTCACATCAGGTTTGAAATCCACATGTGACTGTTTAATTTGTCGAATGTTAATAGAATATAGTATTTATGTTACCCACTTTCTTACGTATTCCCAGGTAAAATATTCCACACGGGTCACGAAAGATCTTGATTTAAATTAAGAATTAAATGAATGCACACAACAAAACCATTAAGAATTTTTAGGCGACGGAAGATATCCGACAACGAGTACTACGGCGCACACACACAACTTTCAATATAACTGGAGTTACAGAATTTTCTTGCAATAAATTTCAATACAGAGAGATTCAGAATTAAATTCTGCAACGGAGCAAATTATTGCGAAGCTACTATGATTCCGCGTTCGCGTGTTATACTAATAAAACAACAATTCCTAGCGCACCGAGTATAACGGCGCACACACATAACATTCAATATAACTCGCGTTACGGAATTTTTTTCCAATGAATTTCAATACGCGGAGATACAGAATTAAATTCTGCAACGGGGATAATTATTTCGAAACTACTGTGATACCGCGTTCGCGTGTTATACTAATAAAACTACAATTCCTAGCGCAACGGGTATAACGGCGCACACACACAACTTTTTATATATTATAACTCGCGTTACGGAATTTTCTTGCAATAAATTTCTATACAGGGAGGTACAAAATTAAATTCTGCATCGGGGATAATTATATCGGAACTATTGCGATACCGCGTACGCGTGTTATATTAAAAAAAACTACAATTCCTAGGGCAACGAGTATTACGGCGCACACACACACACAACTTTCAATATAGCTCGCGTTACGGACTTTTCTTGCAATAAATTTCTATACAGGGAGATACAGAATTAAATTCTGCAACGGGGAAAATTATTTCGATACTACTGTGATACCGGCTTCGCGTGTTAGGGTAAAAGAGGGTAATGGGGGTCACTTAAGGAAAAACTCAAATATAATTTCAATGATAAACAAAATACTTATTGCAACCGCCTATAAGCATTGTTTACTTAAAAAACTATTATTTGATATAATTTTCACTTTAACAATCAATTTTGGATATTATTAAAGTTTAAAAAAACACAGATTTGACTCCCATTACACCGACATGCGGGTAATGGTGGTCACACTGGGGACAATCGGAATCAAACGAAATCTAGCAGATATCGCAGACATAATATTCTGCTAAGTCCCACCCAGTGCATTCCACATGAGCCCATAGCCCACATGAGGTGCATCTGAACCACATTTCATTGTTTTTTTTTTTAAATCGTTGCACAATAGACATCTCTTTTCCAAATTTTCATCCTCTTTAACCTGGCATAAGTCATCAGTGCCAATGTTGAAATGTTGAAAAATAAGTCACATTGTTTTTTGTAGGCCATTTGGAGCGGGCTAAATACAGAAACGTCCATTGGGAGTCGCATGACTCCCATTGCCCACAATTACACTATTGTGAAAAAGAACAAAAAAAATATTTCTTCCAAACATTGATGTAATCTGAACTGCACATCACGATTTTGAATATTTAACTAAGACTATATAAAAGTTTCATTCGAATATTGCAAGATATTCGCCACTTATCTTCTAATTTGCGTTGCCGTAAAATTAGATCAGCGGAGCTCAAAAATATATACAAAAACAACTACAATTCCTAGCGCAACGAATATTACGGCGCGCACACACAACTTTCAATATAACACGCGTTACGGAATATTCTTGCAATAAATTTCAATACAGGGAAATACAGAATTAAATTCTGTATCGGGGATAATTATTTCGAAACTACTGTGTTACCGCGTTTGCGTGTTATACTAATAAAACTACAATTCCTAGAGCAATGAGTATTGCGGCGCACACACACAACTTTCAATATAACTCGCGTTACGTAATTTTCCTGCAATGAATTTCAATACACGGAGATACAGAACTAAATTCTGCAACGGGTATAATTATTTCGAAACTACTGTGATACCGCGTTCGCGTGTTATACTAATAAAACTACAATTCCCAGCGCAACGAGTATAACGGCGCACACCCACAACTTTTAATATAAGTCGCGTCACGAAATTTTCTTGCAAGAAATTTCAAAGCTGGGAGATGCAGAATTAAATTCTGCATCGGGTATAATTATTTCGAAACTACTCTGATACCGCGTTCGCGTGTTATATTAATAAAACTACAATTCCTAGCGCAACGAGTATTACGGCGCACACACACAACTTTCAATATAACTCGCGTTGCGGAATTTTCTTGCAATGAATTTCAATACACGGAGATACAGAACTAGACTCTGCAACGGGAATAATTATTTCGAAACTACTGTGATACCGCGTTCGCGTGTTATACTAATAAAACTACAATTCCTAGCGCAACAAGTATAACGTCGCACACACACAACTTTTAATATAACTCGCGTTGCGGAATTTTCTTGCTAGAAATTTCGAAACTGGGAGATGCAGAATTAAATTGTGCATCGGGGCTAATTATTTCGAAACTACTATGATACCGCGATCGCGTGTTATACTAATAAAACTACAATTCCTAGCCCATCGGGTATAACTGCGCACACACACACAACTTTTAATATAAGTCGCGTTACGGAATTTTCTTGCAAGAAAGTTCGAGACAGGGAGATCCAGAATTAAATTCTGCATCGGGGATAATTATTTCGGAACTATTGTGATACCGCGTTCGCGTGTTATATTAAAAAAAACTACAATTCCTAGCGCAACGAGTATTACGGCGCACACACACACAACTTTCAATATAACTCGCGTTACGGAATTTTCTTGCAATAAATTTCTATACAGGGAGATACAAAATTAAATTCTGCAACGGGGAAAATTATTTCGATACTACTGTGATACCGGCTTCGCGTGTTATACAAAAACAACTACAATTCCTAGCGCAACGAATATTACGGCGCACAACGATGACCACTCACTATCGTATCGAACCGTTAAACAATGACAATTACGACACATGGCGTATACAAGTTGAAGCATTGCTCATAAAAAACGATGCACTCGGATTTGTAAATGGTGAAATAGTTAAACCAGAACCGGTCGCTGACGACGCTGCCGACAACGCAGCCGCCGTCGCTGAATGGGAGAAAAACGATAGAAAGGCAAAGAAAGAAGGTGCCGGTTAAGTGAACGACACGTACTTAATACTACCCTGCAGACTTGCACATAACAATAAAGCCGCCCCTACACGCATAAAACACTACCATTACATCCTTGAAAAAAAACCACACTACAAGTCCGACGGTTGTGCTAGCGCCGTCACTTCTACCGTTGCCCTTCTACGGTGCCCTGAACACGAGTCACTTCTACCGCTACCCTGATACGGTGCCCTGAACACGAGTCACTTCAACCGCTGCCCTTGCACGGTGCCCTGAACACGAGTCACTTCTACCGCTACACTCATACGGTGCCCTGAACACGAGTCACTTCTACCGTTGCCCTTGTACGGTGCCCTGAACACGAGTCACTTCTACCGCTACCCTCATACAGCGCCCTGAATATGAGTCACTTCTACCGCTGCTCTTGTAAGATACCCTGAACAGCCGAATTTCCACCGAGTGTTTCGAAAACTCTCAAATATTGATAACCGTACTAAATTTAAAAGAATAATTAAAATGGCACAAACAGTTCCCGAGATACAGTCAAATATCGATGTTTGGGAGTAATTTTAAGACACTTCTGGCGTGATTTCAAGGGGGCGACACGGTTACATAGAATAAATAATTCGTCGCCCTATTTAAATTTGTAAAAAATCATTGAAATCGAGCAAACAATTCCCGAGATACAGCCAAATTTTCAACGTGTTTCGAATATTCATAAAATCATGAAAAAAATATATAATTAATAATATAATTATAATAATAATTGTATCCTATTCCACGTTATTTAGGGGAAAGAAAGTGAAACATAGAATTCAAAAAACACGTATTTAAATATCTAAAATGGGTAGTCTGCATCACACGGACTGCAAGATCTGAACGCTATAAAAACTTGTTTGTACGCTGACATTGATAAACGCGTTGAGACAGAAACGATAACAATTCTATTGTACGTACTGATTAATTTCACGATGCTGAAATCTTCTCGACTACGTACATACAAAGTACCATAAATGCCGATTGCGAGACCGTTATATAGACATAATTAATAAAGAAAAATAAATAAATAATATTAATTCAATGCTAAACCTACCTGTGGAACGATAACGAACTTCGACTGATGTCCCCCGCAACAAACACATGCCGCAGATGCTGGATTGTGACGATAGCACTAATTTCAATTTCCGGAGATGTAAAGCAACGTTCCTCGAATCACAACACAAATGCCGATAACCGCGTAAAAAGGTGAAATTAATGTCTCATTAGCAATTTCGATGGATGACGAAGTTCAACCAAAAACACACGAGGCTTGCGAAAGGAACGCGTGCGAACCCACCGGCAGCGATAAAACGACAAGGAACACAGATTGTATACTGCGTATATAGATCGGCTTGTCGCCTCAGCTATGCGGTTAGACGTAGAACTACACCTCAAAACAGGCTAGAACAGAACTTTTAGACATATTATGTAGTCACGCGAAGAGAAACTGAGGAATTCAAATGATTCTGAAGAAAATGTACGTGCAGATCATCCGACGACAAAAATGAGACTGACGTACGCAAGCCAACCGCGTGGCGACTGCACTAAAATTGCACAAGATAAGACGTGTTTGTTTGTAAACACTAATACTGCCAATGTGGTAATGCAGAACATGAAAAGTACTATGCATGGAATTTTTAATTGTTCTTCGAAAAAATTTTAACAAGAAAAGTTCGACCCTGTTATTCGACCAAAAAAGTTTTTCCAGGCGATGAAAGATGTCTAGTCAGTTTTCTGATAGTATCAGTATTTAGGAAAATATATGGGGAAATCAAACTTAACCATATAAACCACTTCGGTTTTCCCGAACAAGATGTAGAATAATGCAAAACTCCATTAATTCCGGTTTGGTCCCGATGATGCAATTAGAAAACTCTTTAAAAACTTATAACAATTTATATATTATACTAATTATCAGAATACTAAGCAAAATGTATCTTTTTTTAAATTTAAAATTTAATAGATTTAATGGAACACCTTATATCTGCGGGAATGTAGAGGTTCTTGATTCTTTTTCGTATCTAAATCTTTTCAAATGAAGAAAGTGTTTTTTGCAAAGCCTGCCGAACAAAAAAATATTAAATACCACTTTCAAAAAGTCCTACAATTACATACATTATAAGCATCAGCAAAATTATTAGTGTTTATGAAGATACAAGCGAGCAAAGCATCGTATAAAAGTTCCAAGTGCACAATGGGAAGATTAGCAGTATTGCCAGAAGTACGTCTCCATAAACCATAAATTTTGTCTTCATGTCCTGCAAAATTCCACAAATTATATGAAAAATAAAAGTTCTTTAATGTATTTTTGGGTTCGTAGTATATAATATAATACGTACCCGCAGAAATTTTCGTCCTCACTCTATGATTTCTCATATTTGTTGATGCGTCGGCTACTTTACATACAACTTCAGAATTATTTATTTCTTTTCTTAGGCGGTTAATGAAACTGGGCTGTGTTGTCTCTAAGCGATTTAAATGCGTGTCTGCCGTTTGAGTTATTATCGACTGCAGCCAAGTGGCAATGTAATTCTGGCGATTCTTGCGTGCTATGTTCTCTCGCCGCATATGGCTCCGATCAATCTGCGATCGCTTGCAAATAAAACCGGAAGCGAAACCAATCTGGTGTCTTTCTGGCAGAGCGATTACCGAGGAATCCTTTGAGCAGGATGATTGTGGTATTATTATAATATCGCTCTCATTTACTACACCTAATAATTTTATAATATGTTTATAATATATACACCACATCCTAAAAGTACTAGAAAAATATAACTTACGTCTCATTCCTGATTTAATGCAACCCTTCAGGACACACCATAAACTCATACAATTCCTACCGTAAAACAACGGCGAAAAGAAAGCGCGGCGTTCTTCGGTCGTCGGATTGTCAATTTCAACATATATGCAGTTTTTGTATATAAAATGTTCATGTAACTATAAAAAATATGTTTATATGTACATTTTGATATTAATTCTTTAACTTACAGCGCCTGGCAACCTCTCATCATATGAAACAATTACTAATATGGGCAAACCAGAGTGCAGGTCTTCCAACATTGAGATTATGGACACTTGTGCTTCATTATCAAGCAAATCCCACCAGTCATCAGCCCGAGATATGACCACAATAGAAGGTGAGCACCGCAAGGCATTGCAAATCACACGCGTATAATTTTCAGGTTTGTCCAACACATAGGCATGCAAATGCTCAAAACGTTGTAACAACGCAGGAATAATGTAATTATTAAGTCCTTGCTGGGAGTTACCTTTCAATAATAAACGGCCCGCGTATCTATTACCACAGGGTATGTACCTGATTTCAAAATAGAAAATTAGCATTATCACACCAAGCAGATTAGTTAAACCTATTTGTGAACTCACTTTTCATTTGGGTTTAAAAAGTGCGGAAGGATGAGTTCAATATGACCAACAATTTTGTCAACTTGTCTTTGTAACAATGGCCGAATAAATGGCGTAAGTTTGCGTTGTATGCAGCCGCCAAAGCGATGAATTGATGGCGCAATTGTTTCACACGCTTTTGTAAAATCTTCTTCAGTAACCTAGATAAAAGTATGTTACTACATAATAAAGCAAATCAAATAAACTACAGACCTTTAAAGATGTATAATCCATATTAAGGTTCATCTGTTGACTTATATTGGGATATATTCGTTTCACACAACACAAAACCGCCTCGGCGCAAATCGCCTGCAAGTCCGACCCGCAACATCCACTTGTAGACTCAGCTAGCTGGTCTAAAAGATCAGAGCTGGGTTTGCACAGCCATGATTTAGTATGAACCCCTAGGATGTCTTTTCGTGCAGCAGTGTTAGGAAGAGGAAAGAATAATTCGCGGTCAAAGCGGCCCGGACGACGAAGTGCAGGATCAATGCATTCTATTCTATTAGTCGCGCCGATGACCACGACTCCACTAGAATCTTCTAACCCGTCCATTAAGGACAATAATGTTGTCACAACACTCGAATGCACTTGATCGTTACGCACGGATCGTTCAGGTGCAAGACCATCTAACTCGTCAAAGAAAATCAAAGATGGGCGCGTCTTTATTGCTGTTATGAACAGCTCGCGCAGTTTTCGTTCCGATTCGCCTACCCACTTATCTAGAACGTCGGCGCCATTTCGATGATAAAATACGACTTTACCATTGCCTTGTTTACTGATCTCCGAGGCTAAAGCACCAGCTACAAGAGTCTTACCAGTTCCTGTATTGAAAAATGTAACTAGTTAACACATGCATTTTGTGACTTGTTATGCTTACCAGGAGGTCCGTAGAAAAGTACACCGCGAGGCGGTTTTATATTGAAATGCTTGTACAAATCCGCGTACAGTAATGGCATAATGATAATTTCCTTCAGCAAATTGATATGAGTCGACAATCCACCAATTTCTGTAAAGTTGGTTTTACACTTTGCTTGGCGGATCCTCTTGCGTTTACGGTTTGCAGCGCACGGGAAGGCAATCGGATGTGCTGACATTTTGTTTCTCAACCACCAAACTTTTGCAAGCTAAAATTTATGTTCACCCACAAAATCAATAAAATTTCTAATGCAATTGCAAGTATTATCGTTTTATCATGATTTGCAATTGTTACTTATGAGATGTGCATAAAGATGCATTACTTTTTTCCGTTGGCTCTACAAATTTAAATTAACTACCGAAATGAAAATATATAAATCATGAACATACATATCGTGACAGGCGTCAACTAAGCAATCAGATGATTGTATAAACAAAAACTTCTATACGCTCTCGTGCGTATAAGTCATTTTCGGTTAGTAACCACAAGCCAACTAGACTTGAATCCATCGCGTGTAAACTAAGAAAATTTTATCACAATTTTACGATGAATTTCGTATCAATTGGAAAGAAGTACATACTATTGATCAAAACACACAACTCGCGGGTTGGTCAACGACACGAGCACTTCTATAAACTTGAACATTTTAATATTTTATACACTAGGGTGATGGAGCATAAAACAGTAAAGTACATTACACTTAGAATTAATCAGTAATCACTAAACGTACTTATTGATTTCATTTTCCCTGCATGTTTTTTTAATATTCTCTTCAAACTAATATTAATACAAAAATAAAATCAGCCTTACTCGGGTGTGGCAGTGTATGGTTTTAAGTCTTTGGCCATCAATGGAGGCGACTCGTTGTAGAGCCTAGCTCACAACTAAAAATCAAATGCGCATCTTGTTGAAAATAATTACAAAAAAAACTACCCTATTCCTAAATTTGGCGATTACGTATAAAACAATCCGAAAAATAAATTGTGAAGTAACGACGATGTGTGATGAATATTAATTTGCAAATACCAACGACGAATTCAACTCTTTTGCGTCCTAACTCTTGTTCGTTGGATTTCATAATTAAGTCGATGGCAGTGGCAATTTATCTTCTTCGCATCTTACGGTATCATTTCTGATTAAACATCGCAATACATGTGTCGGAAATTTGTGATAAGGCTGACAGTGGCCGGCACGAGTCGTCTGTATTCATATGAGATTCTTTGTAGCGTCTCAACTCTTCCAGTAATAACTGCAACAAACAAAATATAAATAAACGAGAACAATTGTTTATTTGATATATTATAATACCCTTGGGACTGGTTCTCTATCAACACATTTGATAAACTCCTTGATAATGCGACTTAACTGGAAGTGAAGATCTAAGAGTGAAGTAAGAGGCTTGTTCTTTGTCACGGATGTTGCGACTGTCAACACATCATTCAAGTGTCCCTCATCTACAATAACCTTGACTTGTTCCACGGATGCTGTAATCAATATTTTGTTAGTATTTTTAATGGACACAATTGTTTTTATAACTTACTTGATTCGTTAAGTTCTTTGTCAATGTCATCAAAGTCCAAAGGATCTTCCAATAACTCGGACGGACTTAACAGATCGCTCAGAGCACAAGGAACGTTATTGCTGCTGCAAATATAATTTAAATTAAGTTTATTTTATAAATACTTAATAATATCTTAGTTTTAACTTACTGTGAAGTCTTAATGTCAACATTCTCGGAATTTTCATTATCTTCCTCCTTGGAATCACCAGCCTGCTCCGGTTCAGCCAATCCAATACTTTCTTTAGGATCTTCCTCACCCGAAGAATTCTTCTCTGTATTTTGTGATTCATTGTGATTGCCGTTCTTAGACTTCTTTCGTTTCTTGGAGTACCCACGCGCCCATAGCGGAGTTTTACGTTTTCGCAAAGGACTTACCCTTGTTGTGATCGGAGAATGCCCGACTCCGTTCTGTACGATTGGTTCAGCCTTTACGTTCTCTTTGATGTCTGGAACCATCTCATTGCTGAAAGTTTTCACAACGGCGTTGTCCTGTGGTGTGTTTAAATACGGTGGTAGGAACTCAACTACCGAAATATTGCGCTGCTGCCGCCGCTGTGCGATTTCTTGGCATTTATCTTCAAAGTCGCTGTCCATTTCACTCTTGATTAAGGTGTATGCATAGTCGCGGAGCGAGCACGCCCGATGCCGAATTTGCTTATCAGCCGATGTTCTCGCTGGATTATACTCCAACGCATTGCGACAAATTAGTTCAATGTCATCGAGAAAGTCTTTGGCGCATTGATATCGATGGAAATCGACTTTGGTCATCATCGTTTCCAAGTCCATAGGCTCTTTAATGATGGTTGGATAATCGGGTACTTCCTCCATATCGACTGGCTTTGTGAAAGGGAAAAACCTAAACAAAAGAACAAAAATACAGCCACTATTTCCTATTGTTTCAACACAAATACTTACAATCGATTTGATGCTAATTTCTTACACATATCCCTGAGGAATATCCTTAACTCTCTCAATGTAGCTTCCTCCTTGTCGTAAATCGTTTTAGCAGCTTCTTTAGTCATCGGTTCTGGTTCCGGAGTGGGTGCTCGTGGTAACTCCTCATACTGCTGAACTTCAGTTCGGACAATTCGTGGTGGTCGCATGGTCGCCTCTAGAAGCAAAGGTTTGAAGAAGTCGTAGCGAGATTGGGCATCCGGCAAACGCATTTCGTACACTTCGTTCCTGTACATGGAAAAAATCGCTTGCAACTTAGGCGGTAGTTCAATATATCGTGTGTCCGATGTCGCCAAGAGAAGAATTGGATTATTCGGCCCAATCTGCTTCAATTGCGTTTCGAAAATACCAATCACAGTCTCGTTCACCAGCGTCCAGAGAGTGTCAATGTTTGGAATGTAGATTATGCTTGGAACGTTACGTTTTGCTTCGTGAAATATCTAAAATTAAAACAACAATGTTAAAAATATACAAATCTATACAAGATTCGCGATTATTGCATACCTGAATGCACGCCTCCTCGGGTGTTCGACCGCATTCTCGGTGTAGAGCTGCTAAGTCCAAAACATATGAATGTATATGTTCCATTTGATGAAGCAAGGCAGGCGCCAAATAAGTGCAGTTTCCGTATTCAGTTCCGTCAGCAGCCACCAACATTTGCGCCACTCGGACGTTAGCAGATACTTTTACTCTGAAATAACGTGAAATGTATAACTTTCAGTAATTTGAAAATAATTTAAAAACTTACTTTGCAAGAGTAGGATTTGCCCCGTGCGGAAATGAAGTTTTTAACATTTCCATTACTTCATTCAGAGGCGTCGCAAGCAAGGGGTGAACAACAGGATTAAGTTTATTTCCCACGCTTTCTGCAATTCGATGTGATGCAGGCACAAGCACTGATTTGGCTCGCAGAAAATCAAGTTTTTCAACCTAGAGATTAAACATTTTTATGTTGATATTCTCGAGCAACCGTTTAATTTTGATTTACCTTGACTAAATCTGGATTCAACACCAATCTACTTTGAGTTGTATAAACCTGAGGATACGTTCTTCGAAAACTTTGAATAACAGCTTCCGAGCAAAGCGCTTTTAAATCAGATCCGCAATAACCTACAGAACTCTCCGCCAGATATAAAATCAACGAATCGGACGGTGGAGTAGTCCATTGTCCAAGATGCACTCGCAATATTTCTTCCCTTTCCTAAACACACGAAGAAACATATTTAGAATTACAATTAATTAAGACAAGTAAAATCAAAAACTTACCTTCTGTGCCGGCAAAGGAAAAAATAGCTCCCGATCAAACCTCCCAGGTCGCCTCAACGCCGGATCAATCGCATCAATTCGATTCGTCGCCCCAATTACAATAATCTCGCCTCTATTAGTCAATCCATCCATAAGTGCCAATAACGTGGACACAATACTCGCATGTACCTGATCTTGCCTTCCAGATCTCACAGGTGCTAACCCATCCAATTCGTCGAAAAAGATAATTGAAGGCTTCTTCTCCGCCGCTTGCTCAAACAACACCCTCAACTGTTTCTCACTCTCACCAATCCACTTACTCAATAAATCAGCACCCTTCCGCATGAAAAACGAGACTTTCTTACTGCCAAACGAACACTCATTTGCCAATGCTCTCGCCAGCAAAGTTTTCCCAGTACCAGGCGGGCCATGAAATAATACCCCCTTTGAAGGTTGAATCTGAAAACGGGCAAACACCTCGGGATACATCATGGGTAGCAATACCATTTCCTTGAGGCACTGAACATGCTCTTTAAGCCCCCAACGGCTTCAAATTTAATAGTGGGATCCATTGTTTCCGGCGCAATCGGTTGTATCTTTCCACCTCCCGTTCGCAGTTGTTCATTTTTCGAGTGTGGACTTTTCGGTGTTTTGATATATTTCGAATTATGACGCCGATCTGAATCGGAAGAATCCGACTCACTAGAGACGCTCCTTGTAAATCGACGACCATTAAACCGAGGTATATTTCTATTACGTGGAGGTGCTCTCCGCTCAAGATGCTCGGAGTAAGCCGGAAGAGGTTTCGCACGACGTTCCCGAAGTGAGTAACTCTTTTTAACACCTTCAGAGCTCGATGTGGACAGTTTACGTTTTCTAGTGCGAGTTCGTAGCCTCGGGCCACATCTAACTTGTTCTTCCTCGGATTCACTCGAGGATTCCTTATTCGTTTCATTACCCTTTTCGGGTACTTCTTCATCTCCATCCTCCTCCTCTTCCTCTTCCTGTTCCTTATCCGTTGATTTGCTTTTGGCATTTTCGTTGCTTTCCTTCTTCACCACAGAAGCTTTTCGAATATCGGCTTCTTCGGCATCATTATCACTACGCTTAACAGTTATATTTGCGGAATCTTCTTTATTCTCTTTATCGTGCGATTCGCCGCGTTTATTCTTATCAGTGTCTGGTGAAAAATAATGATATGGTGTACGTCTTTTGCGAAGTGGACGGACAACTTCAGCATCGCGGCTGCTATCGTCCGTGTATTGATTGAGCGTGGGATAACCAACTTTGTGCATTTGATCATCACCTATCCAGGATTGATTAGCGTAGCAACGATTTCGTCGACTACGTCGTACACCTAACAAATTGGCAATTAATAAAAACGCGCAAGTTTTATAAAGTTTTACTTACGCCGTAGATCAGTACTGTCATCCGAATTGCAATTCATCGCCGAATCAACATCTTTATAAGACTTTTGAATAATCGGTCGCAGAGATAGCGCTGCGCGGCGTTCCACCTGATGATTTTTGTAATTGCTGCGTCTACGCGAGGATGAGTAACAATCCTCCATATCGCTGTCCATGATGTCGCGCATTGTGTGACGGGGCGGATAAATTTTTACGTGACGGCGGCGGGCACTTCTTCGTCCTTGCCTTGAATGAACACCTAGAGGCGCAAAATGTAAAATTTCCAAAATGTAGAATTATTTTGTTATCGTACCATTAACGAAGCGAGTCCTTTGCTGACGCGCCCGACTTAAAATCGCAGGCGCAGCCGCGCATCTCGCTCGTGAATGAGCGACATGCAACAGTGGTTTCTCAGGCGAACTCCAAGAGTCCTCTTCCTCACCACCTTGCTCGCTATCCTCTTCCTGTTCCTCTTCGCCGTTCACCGAATCGCAGGATGAACCCAATTCCCTAGACGCGAGGCGCTAAACATTCAAACATGTTTCACTCATTTCACCCCTTTCAAAACATACACCAATAAATATATTTCAGTGATTTATTTCCAGTAAATAACAATAAGAAATAATATATTATCCAAAACACAAACATTAAAACAGTGCATGATTAATTCGTGGATTAATTAAAACACATACCCTGGGGGCATCGGTCTGGCAGCGTTCACCATTTTCAGGAGCCACACTACAAGACTCTGAACGTCTCGTTTTAACCATTATAAGGTTTGGATGCACACTTTGAGAACAAGTGTATCGAAGTGACGTATGGGAGCAAACTATCACAAAGTTTTGGTTTGATTAATTCATTAACTCAGAAACTCGAGATTTAGATAATGCATTAAACGTTAAGAGATGAGTGTGTTTTGAGTCAATTAAACTATGTAGGAATGTGAAAAAAGTGCTCAAAATAAATTGCGATTGTTAACCTTATCCACTGCTAAAATAAACCCAGCGCAATTCAGTCCAGCTTTCATTCAAAAACAAGTTTTCTGTTAGGTTTAAAGCATCCCCAAAAAGATGAAAACAAAGAAATCGAAGGTCAGACATTGTGTGCGTAACGCAAGTAGAAAAGATGCAAGTTGTGCAATGCAGTCGCAAGCTTAGCTTGCTTTGTTTTGTGTTCTGAGTAACGTGTTTATTAATTGTTAGATATTTGTTGATGTTATGTTTTCGCATGCGAATTGTCAAAGCTAATGCAGAAGAGCAAGAGTCGAGGAGAAGTCGCTACTTACAAGGCAAAGGCGGTTGGGTGAAGGCAAGCGGTTACGAGATGAACACAGCACGGTGATGCACTTCTTAAAAAACGCGCACAGCCACTAGGAGGTCGTCGTTCGCTGCTATTCGATGTCTTCTTCAGCGGATCACAATACAACGGCGGAACACAAGAGCGACCGTCACTACACCGCTCACAGCGTTGAGCGTTAAAATGGCCTGGGAGCAGTAGCAACTCGCGCTCGAATGTAGTCGAAACCAACCGTTAAACGAGAAAGTCACTAGATTTTCAGCAGTGTTGCCAACTGTAAAAACACGAAGTTCCAAATTTCAAAATCAAACATAAAATTGTTGTTATAAAATCAGCTGATAGATAAAACTTCGAATTATTTTCTTTTAAACAGGAAAACATAACCGTTTTAATCGGTATTTTTACCATTAGGCATATAGGCGGTAGCACATCATTTTACGTTGAAAAAAAACTTTTTCCTACCAATTTCATCAATAATTGATAAATTCAATAAAACCACAGGATAAAAACGGAAATAAATACTATAAGTACCGTTGTTTTATTTTATAATCTACATGTTGCATGTGCAAATGTAATAGTTCATTCAAATTGAAACTATTTTCTTCCCAGTTTGAGTCATAATTTCAATGACCGTGCAAAAATACATATTTATATAAGTAACAGTTCATGAGAAGGGTGCAAACAGTGGTTGAGGCTACTAACAGTTTCATCTAAGTCTGTAACTACAAATATGTCCTAAGTGCTGCAATAACACTTTCAAATTGTTGATAACAATCATGCAATCTGTATCAGTTTAAATTGTATAAGGCGTGCGGTTTTTATCAGCATGTGGTTCGGATTGCGATTGAACAATTTGCTTGTAGAGTGTTGTATACGGCGAGTTTCATGTTATAGCAGTCAGTTACAACGTATCAATATTGTTTTGATTACATTTGTTTAGACTCGTCTTGAATTGATGACATATATCACATTTTCTATTTAGTTTCATTACTGTAAATACGAAGTGAGACGTTTCGAGTGTTTGCCTAGACGCGCATCAGTCATATCATTAAAACGCTACAAAATGCACGGAAGATTTAGGAATTCGATGCGTTTCAAAACGGAACACATCGCATTGTTTGTTGGCTCGATTTGTTAAACTTTGTAAAAATTTGTAAATTCAGTTCGGATTTGTTTTCCATCAGTTCAGTTGCCCAGTGGTACATAATATGATTATAATCTTATTAAATATCAAATGCTAAGTTCGGTTTTAAGTTTAAATAATTGCAAACATGCATGTGCACAATAATCCGTCTAGTTTTGCTCAATTTCAGCGTCGCTATGAAATAATAGTTATAAATACAAAAAATATGACACAAAATAATATATACACGAAGATAACGCATAGTATGGATTAATAATCAGTATGATCACACATTAATCTCAATGATTAGCATAGGATTAGTGTCTCAACGTAAAAAAGAAGCTCCATAAACGCGAGGAAAAGCAGTATATACATAACAATTATGCGAATTTTCTAGTTAAACGAGTGGAAAACGAAATTTAAACGACCATCGATCGTGAAAATACACCGATGAGACTTAAAAAATAACAAAACATCCCTGATAACAAAGAAATCATCAATAATAATTGAGCTAGATGCAAAGGAAACCGAGAAATATCCGCGATAGAAATCAAAAATAAACAGCTTCGACTCACTCGCAAAACAGAACGGGAGCAAAAGTCGCTTCACAGTAAATATAAATAATTAATCGTAATAATCACCAGCAGCGTTATAGAATAAAATAATACTTAGGTATTGCATGTTAACATGAGCGTTTCCGATGAAGACTCAAGGGTCTTCGCATAGTTTAGTTGCACCAATCCGTATTCTGAAAAATTATCATAATAGTAAATTACCAGACAATTCAATAAGTAATTTAAGTTTATTTATGTTGTTTGTGTGTACTCACTTTGTATGAACCTTGATAACCACCTTTACTCCGCATTTGCATTTGCAGAGCGGTGAGTTGATCATTGGGCATCTCCACGTCCCGGCTGCCAATGTGTGCAGTGTGCTGGAAGTTGGTCGGGGCACCGATGGTTGCCCTATCGATGCGTATCCGGTGCTTGCGAGGTTGAGGCACGCAGCAGCCGAACCAGGAGACCCAAATTTCACTCACGGCAGTCATCTTTAAATAAACCAACAAATCAATAACCATTTCTCACTTTTGATTAAAAGTCATGTACAAACAACATAAGTTAAAAAAAATTTTAAGTTTTGCTAAATAACATGAATAATTATAACAAAATGTGTAATATTATTCCTGTGGTCAAGAATAATAAACCAGTTATCAAACTTCTGAAAAGATAAGTATAGGACACATGTAACATGTGTGTGAATGCAACACAATGTATACATATTAACAAAAAACTTATGAGTCACTCCTGATAACATTGAATATTCTTGAATATGATCCATGTAACTTATAAATATAATGCTAGACCTCGGGGCATTGTCTTAAAATTGAATATTACGCATTTCACTACATTTTACCACCTTTGTTTATCAAATTAAACATTGATTAAACAAGTGTAGTCATTGCAAGATGTATACACAATACAAAGTATAATTATAGCCGAATTAAACATGCCCAGAGACTTGTAAAAGTTTGTTTGTTGTTACAACCTAGATGAGTGCTACATGACTAGTTCTCATAACGTGTTACATGCTAGAATAATTGTTTACCTTTCCGTTAACACTGCGATTCCTGCAATTTGCCGACGATACCACGTTCGCTCCACGCGCACATAGCCACTAAAGCATCTTCAATGAAGCTCACACCGTCGAAATTCGCCGTCGTGCGGAATTCACGTCGCGTACGTATGCAGGTCCATGTTTGGCACACGTACTGTCACCGTCAGTCCCAAATCTTGAGCGAGTCCAGCAGAGCACTCTTTTCTTAGTGCAAAAACTGTTATATTTGGCACGTTTGGCACCGCGAACGTTCGCCGCCGTTTATATTGCTTTGTTTGTTTTGTTACGCCGCTGGATGAGCAGCCGCGCAAAATAAAAATGTAAAACTCGGGTAGACCGCAGAGAATATGCAAATATGTTGTGTACAAAAGTGCAAACGTGAATGTGAATGTCACAGAATACCAATGAGGCAAAAATAAGTTGGGAGACGTTGCGTCTTGTGTCAATCTGGTAGATACTTTCCTTTACCAGACGTTGGCAACACTTTTCACACTAAGGAGAAATAGTTTTAAATATTGCCACTGAAGACAAAAAGCGCTGCAAACCTACCAGTGCTACCAATATAAATTTCGAAATTGTTATCTATTGCGCCATCTATGATTTAAGTTTTAAATTAATCTTTAGATGTACCCTTCTTTTAAGTAGATGTAATTCGTACAAGTACTGTTTTTGTCTAACAGATGTACAATTTGAACTTGAAGCACATTTTTCAAACAAAAGAGCACGTTTTCATTAGTTTCGTTTATTGTCCTACTGCGGTAGTCATTGTTTTTCGCATTTTTTTGTGCCGCGTTTCTATTGTTGTGCGACATGCGTTCGCGCAGCGGTCGCTCTCGTTACCGCATTCATTGTCCTCAACATCGGGGTGGTGGCGAACGTGTCGTTTGTGCGTTTTCAACATTTTCGAGAGCGCAGGACGAGTTTGAAGAGGTTCGTTAAGAAGTCGACACGCGCTCACTCACCCTCACATCCTCGCTGCATCCCTCTCACGAAAAGTAATCCTCGTTTCCATCTCTTCGCTTTAATACGCTGAATTCGTAACGCGGAAGTTGCGGCGGTTTTTCGAGGTGTGCTTAAGATCGTTATTTGCATGTCACCCTCGCACAGCTTTCGCGCACAAAGTAATAATAATTTGCCGGGCGGCGTAAGACAAAGCCCGAGATGCGGCCGCGCGACTAACAATTACATCTTGTTATCGCGGCTCGAAGGCGGAGGCTTTTAATGTAATAAAGCTACAATGGGGATTAGAAGAATAATAAGGGGTGGCTACGAAAAAACAACCTGCAAATAGAATAAGGAAAAGTAAAATAATCAGCATAAAGAATACGAGATCAGAAAAGAATATAAAAAAGAGCAAATAATTTGATACTGAGTTTGAAAAGCGGAACCAAATATTCGCAAATGTGTTGTGACATGTTAACAACTAAATGTTTCCTTTCGCATACTTGAAACTGCCAAATTCAATACACTGCAAAAAAAGGTAAGTATAAGCTGAACTTGCAGCTTATCCTAAGTAAATTTTCTTAGCTTAGCAAAAATTTAGCAAAAACTCAAGTACAAAACCAAAAAATCAGGTGTTTTTTTATGAAACCGACCCTAATGCAAGTCTACAAAAAAGGAATAAAAAATCTACAAGTCTCTCACATATGTGGTGGACCAGTCTTGCATTGCATGAATTATTGCTCCCTAAAGGGGGAGACCGCCGGGTGGAGGTATGACAAATACGGCTATTATGTGATTTCACGCCGATTGCCACCCGGTGTGTTCAAAACTCACCGCAGTCTTTACCACAATCATTAAATACATCTAAAAAACTGCATAACCTCAAAATATTTCATCTATGATGTAATTTATAGGTTATGTAATTTTCTGTATGATTCTAGGGTTGCTGGTTTTGACTGATTGGATTTCCAACGATTCTCGACACATTCCGACATTTTGAAAAGCTTTGCAAGCTCTGCGCATTGTTCGATCGTGACAAATTGTTTCCTCGCCCACGATGTCACTTCTGTTCTTTTACGCATTGTCTTCTCTTCCACATCAACAATGTGAACTCATTCAGCCATAACCTCAATAGTACCCAACGCATAATACAATTTTACTTGATGAAAAACATGTTGGTATTCATGTTTCTTGATCCTTATTCCTTGTTGATCTAATTAGGAAACTTCGCTATTGTTGGTATCCTCCAGCAAACTCCCAATGTCCTGTTGACCTGTCACTTGTCGGCTTAATCTCCACGCTGCGGCGATAATATTGTTTGCACAAGTAATTTCACGGAAATATATTCATCCTCTGCGGCGCACAGTGGAGAAGATAATCCCCGCCGCGATGCACACACGGTTCCCACATCTTCGGCGCTGCACTTGCACCCGGGGTGGGTGTCAGGGTGCCAGGGTGCCGCGCCGCTAAGTGAATTTACATGCTCCACTTGCCGTCCGCATCCGATGCGTGTTTGTGGAAGGCCTCTACGCCCAGCCCGAAGAGAGCTTATAATCCACTTCGATATGGAAAGCAAATATTGTGCACGTTGTGCTTCATTCTGTCCGGTCAATATAGCCTAACAACACTTCTTCTCACCACAAAGGTGGTGGTGGTTTAATGCTCAGGGAGTTCATTGCTCACATATCGTGAGAAGAACAGCAAATAAATGATATCATTCCGAGTTGGCAGCGTTTTCCGATAGCCGGTTGCTCTTTTAACCGGATTATTCATTTTCTTTGCGTAGGCTAATGATGGCATGACGGCATGACAGCATGACGGAATGGTCGGATGGTCGTATCATGCGTCATGGAGCATCATGCATATCATATTATTCGCGGTGCAGCAGCATTAGCATATCGGCATATTTGAGTATGATTAGCGGCGACGTAAGCGCAACTGGCGTTGGCAACTGATCCGCATATGAGCAACGCCGGAACAAATTGGCTTAGTGTTTAGATATTTGAATACTGGTATCATATTATATCATTCAAATTATAGTTTCGATCAATATCATAATCTACACTTTTAATTCAGTTCCTGGGCAAATGCTAATCTACAATATAAAAATGAATTGCAAAATGTGTTGGTAAGCGCATAACTCAACAACGCTTGAACCAATTTGGCCAATTCTTTTTTTCAAATGTTTGCTAAAGTCCAAGGATGGTTTTGCGGCGGGAAAAATTTGAATAATTGCCGGAAAAACCCGAAAGACAGCCTTTTTCTATAAGATAAAAATTGGCAATCATAATTATAGTTAAACAGTTGAATTCGAGATGGCGCGCTGAAGTGCATTAAGAGTAATTCTTTATATAATTAATTTCTTTAAAATAAAAATTCAAATATTATTAATAGAATTGCTAGTAATTCTATAATTTTCAGTAAACTTAGAAAAAAGTAAAAATAATTTAAAAAAGATAAACTCTTAATGATAATCTCAAACATTCCCTCTCTATTAGGTATTATCAAATAATAATAGAAATAAAATCTGAATCGAAATTTCTAAGAACGCAAATATTTGAATGCAAATTATTGGATATTACAATCGGAACGAAATTTATTTCAGAGAAATAAAAATTAAAAGCCATTTAGGAACCCAACGATTACCACCGCCGCATTGTTTTACTGGCGTGCGTTTATTCCTATCATTTCGATTCGAGTTCGGCAGGCATCCGTGTGCTTCCAATGCAGTGAACGCTCCGAATTGACATCGGCTTCCTCGGAATTCGAGAAATTATCGAAGCGTATCATTACGAATATGAGCAAATTATAGATATCACTTCGTAGGAGAGCTCCACTCTTCTCGTCTGCAGGAGACTGAGAGTTTCGTAAACCTAACGTTCGGCTACCTACCTACTTTAATAATGTCTTTGGCACAATCGCTAATAATACAATTATTGGTTTACTTTCCTACCATTCAAAACAATACTCTATTCGTGTTCAAAAGGGATTTTAGAGTCATTTGAAAGAAAATTTAGAGAATTTGGAAATTTAGATAAAAATTATATAAATTTCAGTGTCTTCCTTTAAAATTTAAATTTTTTCACTTCGCAAAATGATTCGAATGTGTTAAATTCTAGTTTTATTAATTTAATTTAATTTAATTTAAGTAATTTACAACTTCTTTGAGCGTGTATAAAAGTTTAATTTTTCACACCTAATCTATAATATACCACCAAATATGTCTGATTTTGAATGATTTTTGTGTGTTTTTGATGATTTCGTGTGTTTGCTTCAACATTTTAGAAAGACAAAGTTATGCACAACGTATTAGGCACAATTTTCAAAAATGACAGTGTTTAAGCGTCATTTCGTAGCGCCGCTGTCCGAAAGCCTCCACTCCCTTGAAAACCCTTCGCGCACGAAATCTAAAAGTCTAACGAGCGCATTTCCCACACGCCCGCTCGCCACAAAATAAAAATATGTACGAAATGTTAATGTCCAGACACACTCACTTCCAATGACGCCCATGTGACCCAGATGAAAATCTAAACTCCAGAAGACACCCAAAAAACACTAACCCTTTATTAAACGTCATCTCGAACTTTTACTTATAGCTAATCTTACATAACCTAAAATTTCGACTCCCAACCCATAATATGACATTAGATTTAAAATGATATCAAAAATCTGTTAAAACTATTCTATGGGTAGAAAAAACAATAAATCGTGACTTCATTAAATAATGTAATGTGTAATGAGGATAATGAACGCTTTATGCGCTGTGGACTTGGCGAGCTTTTGTGTTTCGACTTGTAGCTTGATAACTTTTTAATCGGCACTCGCCAGGCGGCGTTTTTGTTTGCTCAAAACGCATTTAATTTGGTCGCTTTGGTCATCATCTCACTTTATTATGCATTTTATGATACGTACGTGAAGATTATCCGTGCGTGTATTTATGTTTTTTTCAGGTCGCATGTCATACGCGTATGAGTCTTACATTTCAATTTGTGTCATTAAAAAATCCTTATGCAGGACACAGACGCGAGATTCCGAGTCTGGTCGAGTCAAACTGATGATTATTCAGGCATTTTCGTTTTCGTGCGTAGGTAATAAGCACATTCGGTGACATGTGTGACTTAAAATTCAAGATCATTATATTGAAGAATTCAACTCAACCACAAAATAAAAATGTAAATATAAAGTACTGCTGCATGCACTGTTGCAAAGTTGGTTGCCTATGTATTACAAAAAAGTTAAGTGTAATGGTGAGAAAATCATAACCTCAATCACTACTGCTGCTTGATTTTCGATGCTTCCATAATCAGATCCCACACTTAATGCAATATTCATGAATGTTTATTTGCGCGTGCGAGCTGAATTTCAATTTTTGCGAATCGTTCAATTTCCAATACGCACTGCAGCCAGATTCCAAAAATCCACTCTGCACTCCACACTCGAGTGGGACTTGTGTGGCGTGTTTGCGTACAATTATCGAGGCACGTAAGGTATGCCTCCGAAAACCGAAAATCGAAAATCACAGAGTGCGGGCGAACGCACAAGCGCACATGCACACAAACAAACAACGGGCAAATGTGAGGATTTACTTACTTCACACGTAAAGTCGAGTATGTATTTCATGATTTGGTTGCTTTTTCGAGTATTTGTGGGAGAGTCGGGAGGGTGCGTGAGACAATAATTAGTCCGCGATGAGAAGAGCCCACGGGCCAGAGAGCGCCGCAAGGGTTGAGCTGGAAATTATAAAATACGGATCACGATCATGTGTGTGGGAGATGAAACGTAATCCTTTTCAGACACGCAAACCAAAAACTTCAATTCCACCAAATATAGCATTACTGTTTACATAAACCCAAAATTATGCAACCAAATTCACACAAATTTAGGAAAATTTGTTTCAAAGTGATAATAAAATTAGAAATAGTAAGATACCCTATAAGATAACATTGAACATTTGAAGTGGGTTACTATATATTCGTTTGACCACATTACCACAAATAATTACGGTGCGGGTTCGGGCGCGAGCACGACCGAACGCAGCGCAACGCACGCCCGGGCCGCCGCTGCTCTGTTATTATCGCGTTAGGGCTCGCACGCCGCTCAAGGGTGGATTTCCGAGCGGCGGGCGCTCGCATCCCCCTGGGGCTCCACGATCTCCGCGCTCTGCGCGTACGCACATATCGTCATTATAACAACACGACACGACACCGATCTCCCAGTCCCAAGGCTTGATGAATTCGTCCATCGTACGAGAGAACCCGGTCGGAACGTGTTATTATATCATTACCATATCGTCATAGCACACAGGGCTTTACCCGGTTCGTCGGTTCGTCAGCAAGTACCGAATGAAAAAATACATACCAAACGTGCAGAAATTAAAAGTTTATTTATTTTTAACTAAAAGGGTAGCGATGGCTAACTGGGTATTGTATTTTTAATTTTAATGGTGACACCAACACGCCACCTACGTCTTTTGACTTGTGCGGAACTAGTAATATCATTCGCATGCAAATAGGCAACCAAATTAACATGTATATTTTGAACATGTGCAGGATGTGTATTTACCCCCTCGCACTAATAACCACATCGACACCGCATCATTTTCCAAACCCACTAGTAATTTTTTTTTCGTAATTTTTTCCAAATTACGTTCCACTTGTTAAAAAAGCACGACGGCATTTATAGATTTATTACGTATGTGAGTGTATCCACAGTGGGGCCGTTCGATATTTTCGGACGCGGTCGTTTTTTACGAGACAGATGCGTTACGCCCCCAATGAATATTGATAAGGAAATATGAATATCCCTCCACATATACTTCAATGTCCTCTATGTGTGTGTGTTTGGTTGCGTATCGGCCGCAGACTAATTTACGGTGTCTCGAAAACCATACCAACCGTCGGAGCGCACACTCATTTACATAATATATGTGCACACAGTGCTCACGAGCACCACGCGGATGTGGCAACGCAATTAAATCTGTGCCAGAGCGAGCTCGGAATTAGTCGCTGGCCCGGCGTGTATGCGGTGTATTGGTTTGTGCGCGCTGCTGATGATGATGGACCCACTGTTTGGCCTCTACAAATAATGGGCGACAATTAACAATACGGGCGCGCATACTTAACCTACAAAAAAAGGCATAAGTAACTTGCCATTTGTTGACCGGTGAAGTATTTCTTCAGTGCTTAGATTGGTTCCGAACATTAAAATTTAATAAAAGAATGAACACAAAAGTTCTGTGTTCCTAATATTTTGTTCATTAACCATATTGGTCAACTAATGACTTAACTAATTTATTTTTTATTACTTCTTTATAATCTATAAGCGCTATTCATGTTGGAATATTATGCGTGGATGTGAATGAGTCTGTTATTAACTAGTCTTTTATTAAAATATACCAATGATCAGTTTTTCTATTTGAGATTATATATTGGTACAAAATATTATTTCCGTAGGCAAATGCGCAGGCGCAAGCTTCGTCCCGTAAATAATGCCCGTAGATAATGGATATTACTCACGGCTTGGACGTCCGTATAGGTATAAAGTATCACTTTGTGTGTCTAAAAATTTTATTCAAAAACTTTATAAAACCCTTCACCTTTATCAAGGATTTTTTTCTTATTAAATGTATTTTCTTTAATAATTTCCACAATTAATACTAAAACTTTAAAATCCCAAGTAATCTCACTCCAAAATCAAACAACTTTTCAACCTTTCTTTTTATCATTTTTGGAAATGTTGTTTTGATCTTTGAAGACGTGTAAAAGATGATAAATCATAACCATCTCAAAGTTGAGCTTTCGTACCCTATGGGCACAACGCCGAAAATTACTATGATTTCGACTAATATAAACGCAGACTGCGATGTGCTCTGGAAGAAAAATAGGCGAAACAAGCAAACGATGCGCTTTATGCACATTTATAACGCGTAATTATAATGCTTAAATTTTCGGCCATGCACGTCACCGCTGATGAAATAATAACACGTGTGTTATCGCTCATTCTCGGGTCGGCGTGATTTATCAGCGATGTGCGATACGGATCGCGCATGGACCGCGCGCAGGGCGAAACGAACATCACCCACCGCGCGGTGGGACTTAATTACGGCAATTATAACCGCACACAAGATGTAGAAATGGCTATAAAATAACATATCTATAAAGTTATTTTAATTACAACAGCAAAAGTTACATAACAAACAATAAGTGAGTTTTATTTTATTATATTCATGGTATGTTGATTCATTTGTGCATATTTGGTTGCCTTCATTAAACTATTTGTATTTTATCACTAACTTTTGCCCGCGACTTCGTCCCAGTAGTGTTTAATAAAAATGTATTTCGTTTTTATTATCCTTTTCAGACATAGTATGTGCCAATTCTATCAATATGATTCGCAATTTTATTTTAAACCAATTATTTATATAAAGCATTGCTAATAATGCATTTCAGCGCGCCATCTCGGATTCAACTATTTAACTATAACTGTGATTAAATCTCACTGCCAACTTTTATCCAACAAAAAAGGGCTGTCTTTAGGGTTTTCCCGGCAATTATTCGAATTTTTCTCGCCGTGAAAACCATCCTTGGACTTTAACGAACATTTTAACAAAAAAATGGCCAAATTGGTCAAGGTGTTGATGAGTTATGCGTTTACCAACACATTGTGCGATTCATTTTTATATTATAAAGATATGGGTAATAATTGTCATGAAAATAAATTTATAGTGCATTACTTCAATTACGATTTTCAAAAAATTTAAATGAGTTTTATCGAAACAATAATGACGCAGCCATTACCTTCATGTAATACCATAAAAATGTTTAAAATTACTACCATAACAGTAGACACTGAATTATTAGGCGCAGCGCACTATGCTTCCTAAAAAGTTGAGACACTTAAAACCAAAACAAAACGAAACACAAAAGCAAGATGTCGATAAAGTCAAAAAAAAAATGAGAAAGACGAAAATAAATATACGCCGATATTATGCTACGCGTTTACGTTTCGGATCGGATTCGTCGATAAGTGCATAAAGCCGCGCTCATAACGAGCGTATAAATAATCTAATAATCTAATAGTAGTATCTAATATAGTGCTTAACATAACCTCACTTAGCCGTACTTTGGTAACTGTGATTTTCATTGGTCAGCTTTCGATTTTTTCTTCTCTCTTTGTAGTTATTGTTGTTTTATGTAAAGTTTGAGTTTGTGTGTTGTGTGTTATCGGGAAGTTTCTGCGTTCGGCGCATTGTGCGTCCTGCGTCGCCTTGTAATTTTGTACGAATATCGCCATCATCCGCATCGCGCGCCGCGTTTATGTTATGTCCATAAATATTCGTTCGATGTGCGGCCGGCCACTATAATTTAAAATTTAAAGCAGACACCGGCGACCGCCGCTCGTAGACGCGCTCCGAGTTGGATTAAAAACAAAAAACAATAATTTCGGGTCGCTTTTATTCGGACTATATCGTCATTCGGTCGGCTGCTCGCTGTTATCAGCGATTCGTATCGGTTTTATGTAAAACGCACGCTAACCGGAATAAATCATTATGTAAAAATCTCACAGACTTTTTTTGTTACAATTAGGGGTGGATAATTCATAGTTTGGTGTCTGTTGAGGATTTTAGAGAGCAGGTTTTTCCGTGTTTCTCGGTTATAAAACACAAAATCCACAAATATTATCCACATTCAATTTTGAGTAAGAAAATTGGGTTATAAATAAGTATTTTGATCAGATGTCTGCATAAATACAGTTTTTACTACTAAAAATCGCAAATAATTATTTTATGGATAATTTTTACACATAAAACAATTTTCCCGATTTTTATTTGCTTTAAAAATTAGTCTTAAACTCAAAATAAACAATTTTTGATAGAAAAAAATCTGCAAAGATAAATTTCATCAAAATTCAACTAAACCCCTTTTAATTCCCTAAAAATCAAAATTTAGTCAAAAATATTGTTTCTCCACAAAATTAACAAAAATATAAATTAATTTTCCGTTTACATGAAAATATTTAAACTTTTACCTTTATATTCCATTAGATAAATTATGTTTGGTCAATTGAGCAATAATCCCCTTGCTAAATTTCACATGAACGAGCAGAAAAAGGCCAAAAAGAAGTGACCAAAACCCCACGGAAACCTTTTAGTGTGTGCGCACAACGGACATTAGATCAAGATGTCAACAACCACTGACTGACAGTGTGACATCTTTATGCTCTCATCCCCTGTGCGCCTCCACCATACCAAATCCAATAAAACATATAATAAAAGAGTGAATGAAAAGTAAGAGTATTTACATTAAGTGTATTGAAAAAAAATCTAGTACTCACTCAGTATTTGCTTAGGACCAAATGCACAGTAGCCAGAGGAGAAAGACGTAAAACCGGCAAAGCTGGAAACAAACGAATATCGATTCAATGCGATACGTACTCAAAGAAGCCCAGAAAAAAAGACAATAATAAAAAAAAATCGAGCAAAATGTGCGCAAAACTCCACCACCAGCACTCCTTTTTTTCTCTTGGTACAAATAAGTTGGCGAACAAAGCACGAGAGGAGTAAAAGAATAAAGCGAATGAAAGAGAGTTGCTGGGCATGAGACTATGAGAGCATGAAAGAAATTGCAAATGCATATTCGCCAAATATTCAACCCACACATGTGTGTGTGAACGTGTATGATACGCCGGAATCGAGGCGCGTAACGTGCGGTCGTGCCCGTGGGCGCAAATCCGTTTTCACCCTCGCGCCGGGTGCGTAACCACCCCGAAAACCACTTAATTCGGTTTCTTATAGCTACAACTCCCAACTCAAAGTGGGATATAGCTATAAAATCCCAAACGGAAAAAATCATTTTGCGTCATTTGCATTCAAAGAAATTCAAAACAAAAGTAAAACACGCTGTAAACTTACAATCAGTAACGAATTATTCATATATACTTCAACTATATGCAACTATAATGACAAATATTCAAAGAATGTTTTTTAATTAGTGTATACTTGGTTGCCTATATTAGAATCTTTGTTGTTTTGGTATAGGTTATGATTGAAATGATGAAAATCGAAAAGAAATTATAAAGATGTTAACAGAATGTGTGTATGTATAATGGCGGCGGCGGCATAAGGACGCTACGAGTAAAAGTTGATTGCCCCCGGGGGCAGCTCTGCAAATGACTGCACGCGAAGCAATATCGCATCGCATGCGTGCCGCAGCATGTGCTTAATGTATGCGAAAGCTGCCCGACAACCAGAGTCTTTCCTCAAGACGAAATCAAAATTTATTTTTAATTCGTTGCGGTGCGATGCGCACACCTTGCGCTTCATACGAATTTACATTTTTATTGTCATAATCATAATGATGATAATAATAATATCAGCAACAATGAGAAGCAAATAAATATTTTGTAGGTATGTCTATGCAGTCCGGAGACTGATTTCGGTAGAAGAACGAATTGCGCCTCGGGGCGGCGGCAGTGGCGGCGGCGGCGGTGGCGGTTCGATACGCGGAGATTCTGCGCCGTTGGCGTAGACGCTCCCGCCGGCAAAGGGAGCCCTCGCCGACCGCCGCCGGGTGCACACCCTCATGCAAGCTTCTCATTGGTCGCCACAGCAGCCGCCGCCGCCGCCACCGACAGCAGAGAGAGGAAATCTTTGCAGACTGTGCGCAAAAATACGTTTGTGGAAAAATGTCAGGCACACGCGTCGCAAGCATATGAGCCGCAAAGATGAAACTTTGCGGAAAATAAAAGAAAATCTAATTGAAAAATCAAAAATATATAAATATGTAATGAGAAGACGGTTTCGCTTTCGTTTTGGAGGGGTTTAGATTTCCTCGGGAATTTTCCACAAATGAAATAAGAAAACATTTTTTTCACTTTTAAGGGGGAGAGCACAACACAAACCGAATCCTCCCTTCGTTTTAAGATTATCATTTACATTTCTCTCTTTGTTTTGCGCGCATTTGAGAAAAGAGACAAGAAAAACTTGCAAATATTTTGATTCGTTCTGTTTGCTCTTCTGTTCATGAAAACAATAAATGAAATCAGCGACTAAAAGAAAGCTGGATAATCAAAATCAAAATCTACAATTCAATTTGCAATTTTTTTCATTTCGAATAATAATTAAAAATTGCAGAAAAAATAATTACGAAAAAAATATATTGTAAGCCGCTTTGTATGCTAGTGACCCATAGCCACCAGCTCAATTACTAAAGACGTCAACATCGTGACAGCATCGACGCAGATCGTGGAAAATGATTGAGCGTTTTCGTCATCCTCGGAGCATGTTCAATATGTGCACAAGTAAAAGCCGCGTGACGTATGACGTGTGCCATGATTAACTTTTCAACATCAAGCGCAAAACAAAAAAAATCAAAACACATCACACACACATTGATATTCTTACACAAAATATCCGAGTATGTACATAAAAATATTAACATTGCAATTTTCAAACTTGTAAGCTCCCAACATGAATGGTTAGGTTAGATGGATTTGGTAATGTGGATGTGGAAATGTTTGGAGGGAACGTATCGGAGCCTGTCGGGGCTGGATTCTAATTGGAATGCCCGCGGGCGACGCTGCGTACACGACGGCGGTCCGCGGCGGCGGCGGCAGCAGCAGCAACATCATCCCCCCGAAACGCTGAGCGCACGCACAACCAAACGCATCACCCTCACTTCATCTCGTCGTCTCTTCATTTCGCGTTTCGGCGTTTCCATTTCTATTCCGTCGTGTTTCGCGTATTAGGCACATGAACAACGATCGATATTGGGTTGAAAATTGAATATTCATTTCATTTCAAGATTATTCATGTACATCTATCCATCTACGCAAGGATAACCTAATTCTTTTACTATTAGTCATGTTCTACTTGATTATCCATAGTGTAAGTAATGTTTGAATTTAATAAACATGCGTTTATATACTACAAATGAGATAATCATAAATTCCTAGTCGGGAATAAATTCATTTCGCCGTTTGACAGCGTTGATTATGATGTCAAACGCGCATTTTATGCGCGCGATATTTACGAGTCGCGCCTCCATTAATATTATTCATATAATTCAAGTGCACCGGGCTGCAAAATGCGTGTGCAAGACACTCGCGCATGTCGTGTGTTACACATATATTTTAAATCGCGAATTAAATCTTCTCGCTGCCGTCGAGGAGCAATAAAACGCAAAAACCAACACGAAATAAATGCGTCCACGCAACTACAAATAAAACACAGCAAACGCCAAACTACTAACAAGATAAAAGTTGAAAAACAAATTAAACGTAAATAAATGAAGCGCACAGGTAACATGAGCATCATGCGCGCGCGTCGGCAAGTTTTACGAGCGTCTTTTGTTGTATGTGTGTGTGTGTGTGTGTAGAGGGCATTAAAAAATTTACGTCGATGTCCAATTAGTGTAAAAAGCACTAAACATTGCATTGAAAAACAAACAGCACACAAACATAAAACTGCCAATAAATTCTTGTATTTTAGATTAAGTATGTTTTTTTTGTTGGGTTAAGGTCGTGGTGTAATTTGGCTTTTAATTGTGGTGTGTAATCGAGTGTGTGTGTGTGTGTGTGCCGAGTGTCACTTTATTATACGGGGGGTGTGTGTATCCCGCCTCATTTTCATACCCGCTGGAGCGCATCGCGTTCATTGATTGTGATTGCGCTCTTTCGGCTTGTAGTTTGCGTGCAATCGAACGCGAAATTGCCTCTTTAAGGCAAACGCACCCCCCTAGATCAAACAAACGGTGTCATCGCCAAACAACATGTGAATAGTGACAAATTAAGACCACACACGTCTCCAAAATTTTAGTAAACATGTAATTATTTTATATGTTCTTCTTCATGATGTGAAAAATGGTAATAATGAACTTTAGCACCATCTCAGGTTTATTGATTGAACTAAAACTGTGATAGAATCTCCTTATCAATTTTCATCGCTTATTTAACACCCTATATATCATAATTTTTAATGTTTTAATAGTCATTCTTATATTCCAGATGGTGAAGAATAAAACAAATCATAGATCCTCAAAATCTGTCCAACCATTCATGAGTTATAAACGTTGTAACTAACACAACTTATTTTCAAACACAATAAATATCCCAAAAACTTTTGTTTACTTATTTCAAACACATAAAAAATTTAGGTTAATAGTTTTACCCTACTTGTTAAGTTCTGTTGTGTATGTTGCCTATATTGTGTCACAATACTTGTATAAGTTATTTGTTGTTTGTTCGTTTGTTGGCGATCTCATCAACATATGCACAAGATAAACGTGAATTGTGAAAATTGTGCACACGGGTGGAGGGCGAGAGGTATGCAAGGGACGTAAGAAATAAAGTAAACAACACTTGTCGCCCGCGGCGGCGCGACGGGCCCCGGCGCCGACATATGCAGCGGCGCAAGTTGCCCGCTTTGTGTTTTAAGCCTTCGAAGCGGAGACCAGAAAATGCGAAACCAGTGTGTGCGTATGCGTACGAGTACGAATCTCCGGATCTGTATCCAGGTCTCCCCTTTTTCCTCGTAACTGTGCGACCACCAGCGTAACGCATCTGCGTCCAACCGGGTTTCTTTTGTTCAGAGATTATCCCTTTTCTTCCAGTACAGAGTTTAACAGCTGATACATATATTTGGTTGCCTATAATGATAATGAATATATTCGCGCATGCGCACTGGAAATATAAGGCGGAGCATAAAATTGAAAAAATACATTATTTTTACTTGAATCCAGTTAATTTTCTAGGTAAAAATTATCCTTTGCCTTTTGGCATGATCGTGAATTCTCACCGCCCTTTCTCGCACCACCGCTAATACGCATTAATTTAATTTAATTCCGCCCGGCAGGAAGAAAACCGCCGCGTCGAAATTCGAAACTCGCGCAAAATCGTGCGGCGACAATCCAATTATCGCCGACAGAGCGAAAAATTCCCACATACGCTCTTGTTCTTGATGCACTACCGCCCCCTGTGTGCCTCTACACCACGAGAGATATCAGCATACGCGAATCGTGCACCAGCAACAGCCAAAGAATGAAAAAAATTACGTATACGAGCGTGTTTATTCAATCTTGCAACTGGCGAGCGGACAGCAACACAGCAGCAGCACAAGAGAGCTTGGAATTCCACGCGGTGCTCTTGCATGTGCATGCGAAACGCACCAGGAGAAAAAATAACGCAGCCACCCCCGGAGGCGCGCAGTGTTTTCTCGTTTCGCGCAAATTGCAGGCTCTCTCGCCGAAAAACCCTTCCGGTGGTTTTGCGCGAGCGGCTCGCTCTGAATGTGTGTACGTGCAGACAACACAACAGCACACCCCCACAATACCCATGGAACACTTATATAAAAGCAAAGAAAAAAATACGTTTTCGGTGGTGCAGTGTTCAATTCTTGCAC